GTGAAATAAAGAGAAACAAAGAGAGAGAGGGAAAGAGAGAGAAGGGCGGCAGAGGCAGTGCTACCTAAATGAGCAGGATATGCTCAATCTTGCTGAAAAGGGGAGCTAATGTATATTAATTATAAAAAAAGTATGTATATATTAAAGAAAAATGTAAAAGTATACTTTATAATTGATATTTATAATGAATAAATATGCAAGTATACTCAATATTTAACATTTATTATTAACATTTAGGGAAAAAACTGTATATTTATAAGTAGACTTTATATTTGAAATTTAAATACAAGTATTAATAATTAAATAATATCTCTATTACTTAAATAAACTGATTAAAGTTAAAAAAATATATATAATTAGTAATATTCTTGTGGCAGCCCTCGTATGAAGACGTACAAAATAAGCGATCGGCGTTTGTTTTATAGCGCTCTCGCACTCTCACTTTTTTCTACGCTCTGGTACGCCGGCAAACACTTGATCAACTGTTTAAAGCGCCTCTCTATCTGCACTCACTCTTAAAGCGAACAAAAACTCTCTTAGCAGCATGTGATGAGCGCACGCTGTGCATTATTTAAGCGCTGCTCTTAAAATATCGCTCAATGCTTTTGTGGTTGCTGTTTTGGATAAAAGCTTAGGCTACAGTTATATGATCGAGGCAAGCTTAAAAAGAAAATGAAATATAACAACAGTTACTGATACTTATTAATATGTAATATATGCATATAATATATATATTTTATGCATATATTTTTACGCAAGTAACAAGTTGTTTGTCACACAATTGCAGCGCAACGAATTTACTTGTAAAAAAGCCCACATTCATCAAATTCCTGGTACTTAAAAAGCTTTTATAATATTACATATGGCGTGCATATATCAACAGCAAAGTCTGCCACAATTGCCAACAATTATCCCTCAATCGTCAACCTTAGTTGTACCTGCCGCCTGCCCAACTGCCCACCTGCCCACCTGCCTGCCTGCTGCAGTTCTCAGGCTCAGCCAGCTGCTGCTCTTTTTGCCAGGGCTTTTTAATGCCTTGCTAACGACCTGTCAAGGCTTTCTTGCCATGCGCCGCGCGAAGTTTTTTTAAGCTGCACCACAATCGGAAATGTTGCCGAAGGGCCAACAGAAGCTGAATTGAAAAAGCTTTTCATTCATAACCTTGCACAACAACAGCAACAACAACAACAACAACAACAACAACAGTAAATAAATGCTTGCCTGCCAGCATACAAAAAATAAATAAAAACAAGTCAAATAAAACGAACATTAAATGCGTTACAGAATTATTCAAGTTATGCATATTATAATATTTTACTGTGCTTTTGATGTTGTTGTTGCTGCTGCTGTTGCTCGTCCTTTTTTATTGCGCCCGTTGGCGCTACTTTTATAATCTCCTTATAGTTTTACCCTAACGAACGACTGGTTCCTGCCTGTTTCGCTTGCGCCTACGCACGCACACATAGAAAAAGTAGCCCAAACGAAAGAGGACAACGCAGACGGACGCCAACAGTTTCCCGTTTGAGTCCATACACGCTAAGCTTTAACACATGTCTCAGCGGCAGAGCGCAAGCAGCGCAGCTTAGCGCAGCATCACCAATACTCCCACACTGTGTAAAGCTAGCCATGCCGCTGCCAGCGTCGACGGCAGCAGCGTCAATGTCGCTTTCAGTGTCTAGGTCGAGGCAGCATCGACAGCGGCAGCGGCAGCGGCAGCGACAGCTTTTCATACACCAAGTAGAAGGTGTCAATATGTATGCGTTTTTGGTATGCATGTGTGTGTGGGTGTGCACTGTATATCATGTGTTGAACTGAAGGTCACCCACTCTATCAAAAGCACAGTTATATTCGTTTTTCGTATGCCCAAATTGTTTTCAGAATAATTCAGCGGAAGAGCAGGATAGAAGAGATCGCGGACAACATGTATTGGAGGAGTATGGAGATACAACTGGATTGTTTTTAAAAGGCAGCATTCATTATAAATGTTTTAAATATCAAAATTTAACGTTAAATTTGTTGATATTTTGCCTGAATGAATAGACAATATTTTTACATATGTGAAGAAGAAATTATTTCCAGAAAAATATATTATAATATAGTATAGCTATTCATTTTTTCATAGTTTTTTAAATTAATATGTTAATCCTCAGGATTTGCTCTGTATTGTTTTTGTTTCTTAATACTTAAAATAAGAAATTGTATAAGTAAATAATGCCCGTATACTTAATATTTTTAACGATTTTTATTATGCTTTTCTGATAATAATTTTTGAAAAATGCCTATTATTATGTCCGAATCAGAATTCCATGAAAATTAAATCTCAGTCGCAGCTACAACTACGAAAAATTCGTGGAAGTTCAACTGGTGCATAGAATATAATTTAAGCTTGCGGCACGTGTTATGAAAGATGAGCCCAGAAATTCCAGGAATTTCATGTGCCTCAGGTGAATATAATTGCAACGCTTAGCTTAGCGGATTAGAGAAGAGTTCTGAAATACATACATTCACCTAAGTTTAAAACTTTTGAATATTGCGTGCAGCATTTGGTTTTTATTATTAAATTAACTGTGCTAACTGTTGGCAGCTATAAATGTTAATTTTCTGGCTTAACTTCTTACCTAAGCGCTCCTCTCCCCTAAAAATATGCAACATATCCGAAACATCCATACAAGAACGCATAATTAAGCGTATAAATATTTCTAGGATCCAATTTACAATAGGGCACACGCACACGCACACGCTCACCTACACATAATAGGTGAAAGCTCTGCCGCTGTCACTGCCTCAGCCGAAAAATGGCGGCGCCAGTAAATCATGTTGTAAATCAAACGCAGCCGTAACGCCGACTGCGCTGCGAGCAGTGCCATAAAACATTTTATAGCAAGTGCGGCGCGCGCGCTTGCAAAAGCTTTTAGAGCGCTCACGCAAAAGCTCCGCTGTGTGGGTGGCCGACGCGTACGCGTCGTGTGGCTCTGCTGCTGCCGCTGCTGCTGCGGCTGCGGCTGCGGCTGCTGTTACTGTTGGCGTTTTGCTTTCAGTTGCTTTCGAATTGTGCGCCAAAGTGGTTGCCACATGTTAACTAACAATCAATTAACACCTAAACCAACAACAATAACAACAACAACAACAACAACATCACAAACAACTTTAACTTTAACCAACAACAAGAACTCAATAAATTCGCTTTCGCTGCAAAAATTGTGCAAGTCGCGTTTTCAAAGCGTTTCCTCTTCTTTTTTTGATTGTTTTTAAATACAAAAAAAAAAACTTGTTTTATCGTGCGCTTTACATTCACATAGAAAATCGTGTTTTTGTGCGTGCTGCTGTCCTTATTGAGTGCGCGTGTCCTTCGTATAGCTGCCGCTGCTAACCTGACTAAATTTTTAAACAATTTAATTGGCAACTGACGGCGCGCGTTATATGATAGCCAAACAGAAAAAAAGATGAAAATTTAAAACAACAATAACAAACAGGTAGAAACTGAGCGTCAAGGACCTCGTCCTCGCCAGCCATGGCTGCTGACAAATTCAATTAACCCTATTTACCAGCTGAAATCAGATGCAGGTCATGGCCCCGACTGCTGCTGCGGCTGCTTCTGCTTCTGCTGTGAACGGAGCCAAACATATGCCCGTCTCTCGTATATCCTGGGCACTTATGCCATTATCCTGCCAAAGTGGTTTTCACAGTCATTTAATTACCAGCTAATTAACTGTTGTATGCACAGCTACTGACCAGCCGCAACATCCTTTTTAAAGAGTACGGTTCAGATAGGCGAATAAATTTATAGTGTTTGTTAACTCCAACGGAAATTTACAGTTTTTCAATAGATTTTCAATTGAAAATTCAATTTACTAAATCATTTTTGTTGGTTTAGTTAAAGCGAATGCCATAGATTTCGTCCCATTTTTATGTGTTTCCAATAGCATATTGTCTTTTACTGATTTACACGATTTTTTGCATATTTTTTGGTTTTTTAGGATTTTTATAGTGTTGATTAACCCTGGCCGAAATTCCTTTCAATAACAATTTAACAGTATTTATTATTTAATCATTCATATAAGGCGTACACTCTGCACTTCCCTTCTAGTATTGTGATTTTATGTCTATTTCTTAAATTTCTGCGCATATTTTCCTTATATAGTAGCGCACAAACTGTACCTGTATTGCAGTGTTGTGAAACGCCAGCAGAAATCTTTTTGATATGAAATCTCACAATTTTGATTTAACTATAAAATTAAATTCGCTTTAATTTCTCTTTAGTTTCACTTCTTTAATTAATAATACGTCTTAGTTTATCGCATACCAAATCTTTGCAAAGTGAAGCGCGCAATATCTATCATCTTGTTAAATAATAATAAAAATGATCATTAAAAAAATTAAGCAAAACAAAACAAGAGCTATTTTCTTAGAATTTTAATCTGAATAGGAGCAATTTGGAAATTTGCATTCACAAAACTGCGAATTAAAATTCTCTACATCATTTTAAAATAAGAATTTGTGAGAAACAACTGTTTCAAATATTACGTTTGGAGAAAGGTTCTGAATAGAATACATATCCTATAGAATTTTTCCAAAAACCGCTTCTTATTTTGGGTATTCTTTTTGGAGTAAGCTTCTAAAGAGAATACACATCCTACGAAACCTTTAAATAATGCTTTTACTTATTAGGGGTACTCCCCTTGAACGATTCCAAACTAAATACATATCCAAGAGAATATTTCAATAAGGGATTTCCGTTTGCACTAAGCTTCTAAATAGAATACATAACCTAAAGAATATTACGAAGATACTTATTAGGGGTATTCCGCTTAAAGTTAGCTTTACGAATTATAATTTAACATTAAGCAAAACTTTCTTTAGCCTTCCACTTAACCTATGCAGCAGCTGGAAACTATTGTGCAGAATATTTTCTCTGCATATGCATATGTTGCAGGTTATCCTTGTGTTATCCTTAACATTGAGGCACATATATATAATATATACACATATTATGTATATATGTATATATATATATATTATATTTGTTACCCAAAAGTGCTGCAATTGAGTTGTGTACCAAAAATTTAAGAGGTCTTGAGCCATTTTGAACCCAAAGGTAGTCGACAAATATTTGAACAAAGTTTTTTGGGGGGTCTACCTGACCCTGCACCTGCTGACCCCGCTCTGCTGCAGCCAAGCGTAGCCAAACGCAAAATTAATTCCAGCCTCCGCTGTCCCGGCACAAACTGAGCAGAGCCTGGCAAAACTTTTAGCTGCCTTCTTTGCTATTCTCCGCCAGGCTCATTGTTATTGGAATGTCTATGCGTGCCCTACCCTCTTTCACTTTTTCTTCACGTTTTTTGCGCGTTTGCCATGGGTGTACTTTGATTTCGTCATCAAATATGTAACGCATATTTATTTCATTCAGCCTCCTTTATCATGTTTCTCCTGGTTAGACGATCAATTTTAAAGGAGATTACAGAGATAACAGTAATAGTATTTGGCAAGGGTATTTCAACTTCGTTACCTTCGGTTGCCATTTCTTCTATTTTTTTTTTATAGTATTTGCCCCGTTTGCTTTTGTTATAGTTATAGCTGTTGTTACCTCAGTTTCCTTGTCCTTGGCTGCCGTTCGTCAATGCTCGCCAAAGTCGTCGTCATCGTCGGCGTCGTCGCTTTTTGCTTTCCTGCCTGTTTGTCTTGTGCCTGGTTCCTTCCTGGTTCCTGCTCGACGTAAACGTGCGTTGTTTCCTGCTCACACACAGATTCGCTTGTCCTGGCGCGTCCTGTGCCGTGTGCGCGTTTGCCTTTGGCTCAACTTGGGCTTTTTCATCTTTGCCCCTGGCTTTTTCAGGCTGCGATTTTTCCTTTTTATTATTGTTGTCTCTTTACATAGCCAACAATTAACGATTTAAAACTGAGGAATTAAACACAACAACAACAGCAACAAGGACAACAACAAATAGCTGGCAGGTAAGTTCTGAGCAGCATTATACGATATCTTTTATGCCCACAACAGGTGTTCCATCTATTCTATCCGTTTTGCTTTTGTGCGAAAAATAAAAATCAAAGCTAGCCTTTTGATTGATTGCTAGAGCTTTTGACACATGGCCTCACCTGTCTCACATGACGTATGCGTAATGCGCGTCAGCTCAGCAACTAAAACAAATTCAATCAACTCCAGCTAGTTCAACATTTTGCCCCAATAAGTAGGCAACACACGCAGGCTGAATTCAACATCAAAATTGATACCAGCAACTCTTTAAACAGACCTTGTTTTGCCAAGCAGCTAAAGTCAAGAAGCTGCCATTGATTCCTGTCCGGCTAACTGATATCCTATTGAAACTTTGTCGGAAACTGACGGATCGGGCCCCTATATGCACTTGCCTAAAATTGAGGGCACATTTTGGATAAGATAGTGCCCAGATTTTTGGCATATAAACTTATTTATACAGATCGCAACCCAAACAAAAAGTAATTTCGGAATTTTTAAAATTTTTTAATAAGTATTCAAAGCACTTCTAATTCGAAGGAGCACTGCATTTTATTAAATATGCTTTCTTATTTCTTAGGCTGAAGCTTCAAAAGCTGTTCATGTCCTACTTTTTCAACCACTTTAAAGTGGTTTTCAGCTCTGTTCGGCTTAAATACGTGAGGCAACAATCTGGAGTAAAACACATTTTTTTTTCTTCAATTTAAAGCATAGTCGCAGCGCAATCTGCCTAACTCAACGAGAGGCAATTGCACAGCAAATAAATAATAAAATAAATTCAAATTTATATGCTAACAAAATGATGTTATCCCGTTTTAACCACATTCTTATTGCAAGTAGATTTCAGTGGTATTTATGGAAGAGATTTCCGGAAAAAACGTCTGACACGGCGTCAGATACAAATGCCAAGCATTTGCATTTGGCCAGAAGACATCCGTCGAATGACGCAAATCAAAGTAAATAAATAAATCAATCAGAGAGCGATAAAAAAAAAAAATGAAAGAAGAAACAAGAATCTGCAAAATTGAATTTCCTGACCTTGGCCAATAATAAATAAAGATTAATGTTGGCAATTTTTTCAGTTTTTACTTAAGCTCATTTGGGAATTGTTTTTATTATAAATATGTGTTGTATATACTTATATTTAGGTCTCACGTGTGTGCTTAGTGCACAGGATGCACGTCCTTTTGCGGACACATTTTACCCTGAGTAAATGCTGCGAACTTTGACCTACACACCAGCCACCACAACAATAACAATATCAACAGCAACAACAATGCTTAGCTAAGTTGTTAAACAGCTTGTGCAAGTCCCCTTGTTTCCTGTACCCTTTATCCTTTATATCCGACTCTTTGCCTTGTCGACAACCGAGCCCCCGCCCCTCCGGCTGCCCAGCATTATGCCACGCCCACACCGCAGTGGTACGTATTGTTTTTATGGCTTTTACAGCTACAATTTTTACGACAATGCAACTGCAGCTGTGTGTGTGTGTGTACGAGTGTGTGCGAGTGTGTGTGTGTCTCACTGATTGTATTAGTTATTTTGCGGCTAACATTGACATTTATGTGTTTTTAAGCGCAAACTTCAGCTTAAAGCCAACAACAATAATATTTCACAATAGAAAATATTTATGCCACACATCTGAATATTAATTTAAAATGCAGATTTCTGCTGGATTAAATAGGTAAAACGGATTGTGAAGAACTTGTCTGGAGTTGGGCACGTCCTAGCCACTAGCCCAACTTTTTTGCTGACCCAATTTTCCTTTAACCGGCAGCAAAAGGCTTTTCGGAAAATATATCTACACTTAATCAGCTTCACAGATTTATATATTTATTTATATATTCAATCAGGTTAAGTCACCGAAACTATAAAAGCTAAGGACTTTTAATAATGAGCACAACTCCTCCTCCTTCGCCCGCCCAGATCAAATTTGCTTCAAATAATCGATAAATAGACTTCATACCCATAACTAAACCAATGACCGCACAGATCAAGTTTGCCTTCAATAAACGATAAGTTTAATCGTTTTCATAAAATCGATTGGCAGGTTTCTTCTTAAGTATTTATATTCTATTCTTCTTAAGTATATAAATTCTTATATAAACTAAAAAAGCTAGAGATTTTAAATTATAAAAAAGATTTTTAATTTGAAACACAGCTTCTCTTCCTCAGCCCAGATCAAATTTGTTCAAGTAATCGATCTGTTTCTTTGTTTCCATTTCAATTAAAATCGATATAGATATTGTTCTTTGAACATAAGATCTCGCAAAGTTCTTCAGATATACGATTGAATAATATGATGATGAGTTGATCCTTTTATAAAAAACGAAAGTTTTGAAGGGTTTTTTAATTTCATTTCATGTGCACAATTGGTAATTGGCTTCTGAAATTTTTTTAAATATTTATCGAAAATGTGCTAACCGTCTTCTTGTTTTTATTAAGGCTCTGCAGATCTTTAACTTAGTCGAACCGCATTTTAAAGCAATTAATTCTATTTAAAAGTTAATTCAATGCTTTAATTATAATATCTTGTCAATTAAACAAAAGGCTTGTTAAGGCTTTTGAAATGCCCAGTTAATGAAATTCCTTAAAATAATCTTTTGTTTTGCGTTATCATCAATCATGTTTTAAGTAAATTGTTTTTACACACACACGTACACAATTTGTGCCCCTATATGGCATTTATTGCCATGGTTCATACTTTTTGCACACATAGAATTCCTGTCTGATGTCCGCCCGACCGTACATTACATTACGCTGTCACATGACTAGCACACACTTTTCCCAAATGACAGACACATTTCTGTTCTCCATTCACCTGTTCTGTCAGCCAAATGCACATTGCACACGATAAAACTAAGCAGCTGACAATGACAGCCAACTGATAGAAATAATAACTATTGTCATTCGATGGCGTAAAGAATCTCAAAGTGTGTGCTACATAACTTTTCTTAGAAGAAACTTCAGCTCTGGTTAGATAGTTAAAAAGATAGTGTAAAAAGATGAATTTCTGTGAGCTAAAATCAAACTAAGATAATTGCATGCCAGGCACATATAATTTAATAATGCTTAAAATATTTGTTGAAATAAAATAATTGTTTTCATATTCTCAAGTAATTGTTGTTCTAAAAACTCAGAATTCGAACTAGTAACTTTTTCAATAACGGTTCAATGTTCGTTTCACTTTTTTGTTTCAACTTCCAATTTCACGAGTTATTTTAGACTATACTTGTTTTTTTTTTTATATATCGATTTAAGTATAATTTATATTTCATTTTCGTAATGTTAGAAAAACGAAAAGTTATATTTTAAAATTTAAATGTTGTGTTCCGATTCAGCTTTAGAATCGAACGATTACTTCTTGCAAAAATTCATAAGCTTAAGTTTTGCTTAAAAAATCTGCTCCGATCGCGAAGCTTTACGGTTCAAAGTGTCGATGGTAATTAAAAAGAAAATTCAAATATAAGCTCGGTAGAGCTGCGGAAGACTTTTTATAATGCTCTATTGGCGCTAACTAGAACGAACTAATCAAACTACCCCCAAGCGAAAAGGTAAAGTAAAATGCATTTCATGGCCACGTACCTAATCGCAATTGAATTCAGCGTCATCTCGAGCGCGCTCCACACGCTCCACGCGTGGGTCGAATGACATCTCATCCGCCTGCTCGTCGCTGCTCAGCTCGTCCGAGCTGTTCGCACGCTTTGCAACTCTGCCCGGGATATAACCTTTATGCAGCAAATACGCTTCAAAGTTGGCAATTCGCGCACGACGCTCCTTTTCCAGAAGATGCAGCTTCTCATGATGTGGTTTCATGAATTTGTAGAAACCAAAGTCGAGTGGATATGTGACAGCCAGAGACTTGAGCAGGCTCACATAGACGGTGCGACCCTGCCTGTGATGCCTGAGCTGCTGGTAGGCGCAGTGTGTGTTCAATATAAACTGATAAATGGGCGTGGCGCTTGTGCTAAGTGTCCAGAAGGCAATGCAACAGCCATTGTGCAACAGTGCCTCATAGGGCAAGTTATCTTCGGGCAGCACAATCTGCAGTTCCAGCGTGAAACGCGTTTGATAGTACAGCACCTCAGGGCGCAGGACACGCGCCGAAATGTGTAGCTGCATATCATGAACTTTATCGCTGACCGCAACCGATTTTCGTTTGTTCCTGCGCCGCACAGTCACTGGCGCAGTTGGCGGCAGCTTCGACTGCGGATCCATGATGTTACTGTGCAAAGCTTCGGGCTTGTGCTTTGGGTCAGCTGCCAGCAGCTGCTCCTGTGAGCACTTGTCTTTCAACTCCATTAGCGTGCAGTTTATTAGGCATTTGTATAAAGCTTCTATGCTTTCAGCCGGCTGCTGCAGTTCCTGTTCGGTCGGTTTTCTTTCCGTACATTGCTGCTGCGCCTCTTGTTGATTTTTCTCAAGCTCCAAACGCATTCTATTATCCTTGCCCAGCTGCATGGCCATTTTGGCAAAGATGCCGCATCTGCTGGCGAGCGGCGTGGCTGTCAGTAGCTTTGGCATTTCCCGTGGCTGAGCCACTTGAGGCTCTAGCATGGCCTGGTTGCTATTCTGCTCCAAGAATTGCAATTGTTTTGCCACAACCTGTTCGCATTTCTTGGCCAATTGCTTGCGCAACAGCTGCTGGCACATGGTCAGGCGACGCACATGCATCTTCAGACTGGGCGCATAGCTCGTCAAGGCTAAATCCTGAACGAAGAGCGTGTGCGATAGCGCCAGCACAATGCGTGCCTGCAAGAAATTGGGCTGCGGCACAGCATTTAACCACGCCGCACATTGCTGGCCATCCTGTTCGTGCCAGCTGCGTTCGCCTGTGTGCGGCACCAGGCCCAGAATGCGCAGATCCATGGCTAGCGGCGTCGCCTCACGCAGCTGCTCCGGGCATATGTATAGTTGGCCGCTGGTGGTCTTAAACCGACGCGTGTCCACGTCGAGTGCCTGCACTTCGACATCCACATCGGTACGCGAGAGATTCACCTGAGCAATGTGCGCCACGCGAAGTATGCGCACACGCTCATAACCATTGGCATTGCGGTAAATGCAGATTTCTTTGGCCTGAGGCGGCCAGTGACGCACACACTGCTGCGATTGCAGCAGCTGCAGCTGCAGATCCAGCGTTGCGTCACGCGGCACCCTTTGCCAGCTGCCGCCAAGCGGCAAATGCTCCAACAAACGCACACAGTAATGCGCCGGCGTATAGACGCGTATCAGCTGTAGCTTGACATCGCCGCCGGCGGGCAGCGGTACCGCCAGCTGGCGATCCTGTGGCAGCAGCTGATGACGCTGCTCGCACTGGGCGCCCACACAGCCGCCCAGGCTGAGAAGTAGATCACACAATGCCGGCTCATTGCACTTGGCGCGCTCCAGCTGCGCGCGTATGTGCCGCGCAAGCTGCACGATGCGCTCGTCCACATGCTGATGCATTTGCAGAAAATCCACCAGACGCGGCAGTTGTTTGTGGTTGCTCTCGTCGAGCAGCACCAGCGAGAGTAGCGTATCTGAAGTCGAATAGACATGATGATGTGCTTCTTAATGTCAGAGCAACTCACCTGGCTCCGACTGCTCGCCCGGCTGTGTGAGTGCCAATCTATTGCGCAAATTGTCCGCCAGCGCCAGATGTCGCAGCTTGAACAGGCTCCAGTTAGCGCTCATGCTGTAGTGCAGTAGCGTGTGCGCATGTCGTATATCCAGCTCCGGGCAGTGATCGGTGCAGAGCAACAGCTCGCCGCGACTGTCCTGCATCCAGCGATGCACCTGTTCGCGCACAGCCAAGTCAGCCGTCTGGTAATAGGGTAAACAACCATAGCCATGCGCTTTCAGTGTCTGCACCAGCTCGCATATGTCCGCATCCGTGTGACAATTGATGACAGTGCGACGCAAATGCGGCGGACGCTCATGCAGCACACGCAACAGCTCCTCCGACTTGGCGGCCCGTCGCAACAGTGAGATGCGCATCCGTGTGCCCCCATAGACAGCCGCCTCCAGCACATCGCCAAACAGGACCATGGGCTGCGAATTAAACTCGCGCAGCATGTGCAGCAGCTTCGGCTCATACGACTGCGTGTTGATGACCAGCTGGGGACGTTGCTGCTTGGTCAGCAGCAGCAGCTGTTGATGCGCCTCTTGCAGCTGATCCGCCGGCATCAAGTCCACATCGTCGTAGGCCACAAAGCGCAAAGAAGGCAACTTGACGCCATTCCCGCATAGCCATAAGAACTGCGCCGGCGTGGCCACCAGGCAGCCGACGCCGTTAAGCAGGCGCTGAAAGAGCTCCGGTGTGCGGGCCGAGGGCACCGTCAGCACCAACGTCAGCCACTCCTCGTTCTTGGCCTTGCGCAGCATTGCATTGCACAGGCTGCCAGTTTGCTGCACGCGATCCAAATCTGCGACTAGCACCAAGGCAATGGGGCCCTGCAGCTGCCAGCAGCGCTGCATGCGACGGCGCTGTTCCGTCAAGGTGGTGCACACCACCTGGCACAACGGCGGCACGTAGCTCAGAGTGCGTCCACTGCGCGGTGCACTCACAATAACAGCGCCATGGCCCTCACCCTGGCCGAGGTGGGGCCAGGCGTAGCTTTGCAGTCGGAGCAGCTGCGTAAATCTCAGGCGGCGCATGGCAATCAGGATGTGTGGCAGAAAGGACACTTCGTTCAGGTGGCGCGCCGGCTTTAGGCGCACATTCGAGTGGGCCACCGCGTACTCTGAGCAATTGGCCACCAGCAGCGGTCGAGTGTGCCGCGCAAATGGAAAGCTCTCCTGCACCCCATAGTACAAACTATCTGAATCGCTGTTGCTGTTATTGTCCGTAGGACACTTTTGCGGCTTCGGTGTCATGGCCAAATCGCAAGGATATTGAAACTCTACCCTATAAATCCGCAAATTTCCCAATTTGTAAACAGGCAAAATGGAAGCCTTACTAAGTTGGCTGCGCTTGAGCCGCTTATTGGACAAACTATCGATGCAGGCATCGAAGCAGTTATCGATACTCTGCATGGATATGTTGTGACCTTTTGGTATTTATTGACGCGATCTTTTTGTCAAGGTAAAGGAGCACTCGTACCTGTTAGAGTATATTTCGCACTGCTTGACTGTTATCATGCAGCATACAGCTTAAGATTGATTGATTTTGACATTAAATCGATAATATGCATTGAAGCACATTCCTATTACAAGGTGTTCCATGTTTGCAAGCCTAAAACTACAAGAGTGTGACCAGCGTTAAAAGCTTATCGTTATCGCTAACACTCTGAACGCTCTGTTATAATCTGCTGTACGATCAGGCCGCTTAGAATTTGTCTGGCTACACGACAGCCATGACAAGGGCAATTCTGGCTGTTGGGCAAATGCTGCAGCGTTGGTGGACTTTGCAGACGACGTCTCATTTCCGTCAGCCGCTTTTTATCAGTACGTGACTTGCAGTAGACGACGCTGTAGATGATAATGCCTGACAGTGTTGCCAGATAAGTGAAATTAACAGTTGGTTATTTCGAAAATTGAAACCCACCTCCACCAACGATGAGTACGTGCAACAGCAGGGCTACAAAGGCCACCCTCGTCAATGGATCCACAGGAATATAAATGCTATTTTTATCGTTAATGTCGCTAATAATTCTATAGCCACTCGAATTCGTTGTTGCATTATCGTCCTCCTCCACTGATTGTGACTCCGTTTGCCAATAATCGTCTGCAACAAACAAATTGAAATAAATTTAACTTTCAGGCAGCTGACCAAGTTATTCAACTTGCCTGTAAAGTTGCTCGTTTCAAAGAGTTGCGGATAACCAATGAGCAGCACCAACAGCAACAGCAACTTTTCCACATTTTTACTTTGTGTCGCCTTCATATTTACTGTATTGTACTTTCTTTGGCTTATGCGAACAAACTAAAGCTACCAGCAGCAAACACTTTGGCATGAAGTCTTCGCTAAGCTTCATTTAAATGGGAAAACAGCTGTGGGAGAAGGTACGAACATTTAGATTGGTCGTTACAAGATAAAAACATCAAATGCAGATATGATAAGCACTTTGTGAAACTGTTTCGCAAGATTTTGCGACAACAGACATTTCTAGGAGATGGTCCGTGCCGAGGTCTGATTTATTGTTTTATATAAAAATATATATATGTAAATAAGTTAACATGTACTTTCACAAAATCTTACATGCGCACAAGTGATTTTTTGATGGTAGAAATATTAAAATAACAAAATCGATTTACGTTTGGTATACCAATATACACACAGACATTCTTACACCCATACATACATAAATAACTACATACATATATACTTACATATACACATACATATATTATTAACATACATATATACATGCACATATATACATACATACATACATACATTCATACATGCATAAATAGATATATATATGCATGCATCCATGCATACATGCATACATACATTCATACATGCATAAATAGCTATATGCATGCATGCATGCATACATACATACATACATAGATACATACATACATACATACATACATACATACATACATACATTCATACATTCATACATTAAAACATAGATACACACATATGTGTACATTTAAATATGCATACACACGAGCCTATACATGCATACATACATACATACATGCATGCATAAATATATATATACATGCATGCATGCATCCATGCATACATATATACATTCATACATGCATAAATAGATATATACATACATACATACATTCATACATTCCTTAAAGTTTAGAAATAATTTTTCCAACCATTTTACTTTTGAAAAATAATTTCAATCTTTGTTTATACCATGCTACTGTGATTGAATCCAATCGCACGCAACTAAAATAATTGCCAATTCTTCCTAAGCACCCAATTCATCCACTCACAGAGGGGAGATTGTTTAACCAGAACAAAGTGTAAAACGAACACATATATAGATGCTTATTTTTAAAAGTGAATTTATGAAAGTAATTTCTTAAAAGATTATACATAATTAAAGGCTTCAATTGTCGTCGATTTGCTTAGACCTATTACAATATTTTATTTAAAGTAAATTGTAAAGTAAATCACTTGGCATTCGAGTCAACATTCCGTGGCATTCAGACAATCCTCCAGGCAGATGACATTCCTCGTCTGGCAGCAGCCACGGCACAGGCAATCCACGGCACCGGGCGTATGCAGAAAGGTCACTTCCACGACACGGGCCGTTTCGGCGGGTAGTGCTGGCCACACAATACTCTGCGTGCGCGGAGCATAGGCGTCCAGGCTCGCAGCCTTGCGACGCGATCTGCGGCAACAGCTGCAGCAAAGACATCCTTTTTTAAAAAATGGCAACCAGTCAGAACCCTCTCAGCCAGTGCCGAGCACCAAAACTTACCCAGACAGCCGAGCAGCGTTAAGGACAGCGTGCATAGACCGGTCAGAAAGAGTATCCTGTGACTGTAGTAGGCAGCATTTACCGTGGGCATAGTCAGTGCAAGGTTCTGGCTCGGACTCGCACTTATATAGCGGGACTCGCACATCGTTTGACAGACTATGATTAATAATGCCCAAGTAATGGAAATGCATCGTGTGCGCTCGCCCAAATCCATTTCGTTAATGACTAAAAAGACTTGGCAACTGTTGCAATGCGAATGCACTTCTTCTGGTTCTGGTTGGGGCTACTCGCAGAAATCGCCCGGCACCCCAAATGCAACAAAAAAAATAGAAACAAAACAGTTGTGCGAGGCAAAGTGACATCGCAGCCAGTCGACAGCCAGAAGCAGCTAAAGCCAACAGCTTACATTGAGTTTAATAATAAAAGTAAATGCTTTAAACAGAGAACAACTGCAGAAGCCAGAAAGCCGTAAAGCTATTTTAACCATACAACACAGAGTTGGGACAGCTCGAAGACAAGCTTGTGGCCATTCATTTTTTAGATTTCTGGTCCAATGTCGACTTCGTTTTTGTTCGGGTCCGAAACACGAAATCATAAAGAAAAGAGTGGTTCGTGTCAGACGCAAGCCAATAACAGAATTTTCTTTTGAGCCCATCTGAAAAAAATTTGGTCTGACCGAACTTAAGGTCAAAACATGACCAACAATGCGCCAAGCACCAAAATCACTTGAGTTTTGAACAAGTTAATCCAGTTTAACGATTTACCAAGGATTTGATTGCTGCTGATTTCAGACAGAAAACGAAGCATTTGCAAACTTTAAAATTCACATATATACATATAAGAAAAACTGCTTGGCCTGACTGACTGAAAAACTTACAGACTGGCTGATTGACTGACTGATTGATAAGCCGCAAGAACTAAGAAGCTAAAAGTTTTACTATAGACGCGGTTTTTGTAAAATTCCACCACATTTTTACGATCTGATCGACTTCAAGCTCTCCAAAGATCGTTTTTTACAGTTTTCGGAAAATCCATTCCCACTTGTTAAAATGGGGAGTCAACAATTTTCGTAGCCTCTTTATGAACTTTCATTTGAGACGAGTTTAAGACATTTGCCAAGCCTAGGAATCGGTTGTCTTTAAAATGAGGACCTCTCTGTCTTAAGGCTACAGGCCGCCTGAAAATCACGACAATACAAATAAGCAAAATTGAAAGACCAGAGAGAGCATTTAGTGTCCAAATTGTTGCCGCGTGCCAAGTTGGATGTCATGAAATTCAAGCTGTACAAGTGCCAGGCCGTTTTTCCGGGCTTTGTTTGAATTGCCAATATTTCATGTTGGTGTATTTTGCTTGCCATAAAACGTGCCAATGTTGGCAAAATGTTTCACAGACAATGGAGAATTGTTCATTGAAATTTATACAAAAGCTTGTATCGATGAATTGTGGCAGCCTTTCAGGCGCCAAGCCACATTCAAGTGTTGATTTGCCAGACGTGCGGCTAAAGTTTTTGGCATTTGGATAATGTTATTATAAACGAACGTGTCTGAGCGCCGGGATAACTCAATTGTCAGAAGAGAGCACACCAAAAAGTCTGTGCGAAGAAATCTATGTTACCTGTTATACCTGTATCTGTATCTGCAGCTGGTCATCATTCATGCTGTCATCTTTAAAAACGGGCCAAGCCACGCCTCGCCGCCCGCTGTCGCTGGCTGTTAAATCAGAGCGCGCGCACTCGTCATAAACCAAATAAGCAGTTGAGAAATTACATTTAAATTGCAAATTTTAAGCAAAGAAAAAACATATGCACACACACACTCGCACACACGCACACCACATGGAACTGCGCTCGTCTGCCAAAATTTATGCGCAAGGTAAAAAAAATAATAAAATAAAGAAAAATCAAAACAAAAAAAAAAAAATAATAAAAAAGAAAAAAACAGAAAAAAGCGTCAAAACAGCGCGCTCAAAAACTTTTGATAAAAACATTAATTCACTTAGTAAGTGTCCCGATTCTGGGCGCCACTTTTTCCTGTTCGTGTTGCTGTTGTTGTTGTTGTTGTTGTTATTTTCATATTTTCTTGCCTTAAGCTGTTGAAATTCAAATGAAATGCATTTTGTGTTCAAGGCAAGGCGCTTGTAAGTTTTCAGTCGGCGCCATTAAAAACTGGCGACAAATTGAGCGGATTAAATGGAAATGCAATTTGAGTTCCCTTTTCTTTTTGTGTGCGGGTATGGTTGGAAATAATATGCAAATGTCAGCAACATTTGCCAGCAAATCGATGCAATCCTTTCACCAAAAAAAAAAAAAACTATATATTTAAGTTTAGAATAGATTTGACTTGACAAAAATTTACCATTTTATTTGTGATTAACAAGAAAAATTGTCTTTAGAGTAAAATGTATTTACATTTTATCTTTGGATTCCTGTATCGATAAATATGGACAACTTATGCTAATTTCCTAGGCTTGGGTATTATGTGTATTGTGCAAAACAAGGTGGCAACACTGTTAACTGTGAAATAAAATGTTGTAACACGTCTCAAATGAAATTGGGCCGATCGGAATGGTAAACAAAAAAGTTGTATACAAACTGTTTTCACGATTTTTCCACAGATGCGGGTGGAATTACCCGAAACCCCACTCGAAAAATTTAGCTCTTACGGTCAGAACAAACCGTTTTAAATGCAGAGATATATATCTGAAAGATTGATTTTACTTTAGAGCACAATAATGTACTCACTCTTAACATTGTATTAAGTTCTATCATAAGTATAACAAAACCACAAAAGCGGAATGCTAAGCTGCAACAAAAGTATATGTGCTTCCTGCCTTCTCATCGTAACTTACATTTACCATATTTAATTCAAAATCATCTGACTTTCATTTAAATTTCATAAATGTTTAAGCTATCGTAAAGTTATTGCAGAGGCCTTAAGCTTTTAGCTTCCGTTTACTGCAACAGTACTTAGAACTTGAGGTCTGTGAAAACGCGCGGTTGATTTGACTCGTTAAGTTGTTCGCTTAAAAAATATATTTTTGAGCATCTTTTTAGCATTCAATCAACAAAAAATGGCGCATTGCGAATTCATAAAAATCAAGTGAAATGCCACTTTACGCGCATTTTGATTGAGATTTAGCGCTGAATCTGCGATTACCCACAACGACAAGGACTAAACCCGGCGGACAAGGACATCGCTGGCGTCTTGTCACAGTCCTATGAATATTTTATGTAGTTGTGCAAGAGCAGACAGACAAAGACAGAGAGAGAGAGAGAGAGAGTGAAAGACAAGCTGGAGTGAAAATCATTGAAGTATGCCAAAGATTAAATACACTTGTTAAATATAGATTTCAATACGAACAATCAGAAATTAAAAATATATTTAAGTATAGGTAATATCCAAGCCAATGCAAAGCTATTTCCAGAATATCCAAGTCTACTCTTTGTTTTTAGCATTTTGAAGGCTTTAATTTGTTGAGAATTACGAATACAAACGAAAACAATTATATGTACATCTTTTCCCAAACAATATGCAGCATGATACGAAGAACATTTTATAATCCCTATCGATTCTTATATTGTTATACCTTCTGGCTTTATGGCATATTGTCCGTGACAGTTGCAATACATTTGGCAAGAGTATCATAACTGACAAACGATGCAAAGCAAAAGCAAAACGAACAAGTTACGAACTTACACAAGAAAAAACAGCAAAACGCAGCTAGACGTGAAATTTGTTTGTTATGCTGGACCTCTGCAGCTCAAACCTTCTACCAAATGACCCAATAAACCCATTTACAAATTCCAGACAGGTGAATTTCAGGCGAATTCGTAACTGGAATTCGCATCGAACCTAATTTGCATGCGTTGACGATGGTCTCTCTTCGGGGAATGCTGCGGACCTCAGCTCGGGTTTTGACAGCTTTTCTGTTTTCTTTTTTTCAACAGGCCAACAAATAATAGAAGAAGAGCTAAAAAAAAAAATAGTCAGCAGTTTGCTTTACGTGCTGATGTTTCAATGCTAGCTGTTGCTGCAGCATCAAAAAAACTGACCCCATTGCAAATGCAGCAGTATGACACTGTCCAAAGGTCGAGGCTGTTGTCCTTATTTGTTCATTGTATGCAGCCTTCGTAGGATCAAGTTCAAGCGTTTCAAGTTGTACCCCCGCCCGCCCGCTTTGCTGCGCCCATTTCTCACTGACTGATGACCACTTAAAAATTGCCGAGAATTGTGCAACAACAAAAAAATGGCACGACTGAAGGCGACAAACGATTACAGTCATGATGCTGCTGCTGCTGCTGCTGTTGATGATGATGATGATGATAATGTTGAGAATATTTCTGATGAAGTTCTCTTGTGCTACCATTGTAAATAATAGCACACTTTTGACTTGTGCATTAAAATGTGAGAAAGCATGCAAACGCCAAACTTTTACAAGTAGCACAAAGAAACTGAAATGCAAATACGCAAACTATTAAATTTCATTGGTTTATGTCTAAGTATGCATTTGAAAGACTCTGCTACTATACAAGCAAGCATTAAGTGGAAACAGACTGAATTAAATATGAATATATCAGATAACAATTGAATAGAATCAACTAAAAATAGAAAATATAATTACTTGAGACCTTATGAAATGAAAACCTTAGTTACTTTGTGCACAATTCCTTGAATTGAAAACTTTGCCTTTCACTTTGATGCACAGGAAAATCTTAGTTACGATGCCGATAATTGCCACTAAGCGATACCAATTTATTCCCACAAAAGTTACAAGTTCGGGGAAATGTACCCTAAAAACAAATTTTCCACTTTCTTCAATTCAATTAAATTCCCGCAAAAGCGAAAACTACGATGAAAACTCATGTCAAAAACAATTTAATTAAAAATCTGTTAACATAAAAAAGCACACAATAAATTAAAACCATATTCGAAAATCACAAAAAAGCTTCTGACAAACAGTTTATAATTCGCAATTGTTTAAGCAAAAAATTATATACGCTCTGGCGCTGAGATTTCTAGATAGAGCGCTAAATAAACCAATCTATTGAGAACTTTCAGAGCAGTTTTTTAAGCAGCTTTTCTTAACTTACAAATCTTATTCTCATTAAAAGCAAATAAATTCATATAAGTACAAGAAATATTAAACCATTTTTGTTTTTTTTGCCACAGCAATAAATGGTCTAATATTTGTGCCCATTTTCTTGCCAAGGGTATGCAAAAATGTTCAAACAGGAAACGCCTACAGAAAATGGTGACCCTGGAGCTGGGCAATGCGTTTCGTTCCATGCGCTTGCACATTGCAGCCCAAGGTCAATGGCTGTGCGCCTGTGTGTAAACAAGCGAGAGCTACAACAACAACAACAACAACAACAACAACCATAATGAAAAGCGCTCAACAACATTTTCACACTCGAATTGACCAAACAAAAAGAAACGAGCAGCAAGCATCCAAAGCACCTAACAAAAACCAAACAAAAGCAACAACAATAACCCCAACCACATATTCAGTTTTACTCTCGTGCGGGTACCTCATGTCGTATACGTAACACTTAATTGCTACTTTGGGGTTTCTCACACAGACACACAGGCATGTGTGCACACATAGACATGCCGCTGCACATTAATTATATGGTATATGCGGCATGATTCAGCACTTAAAGAAGTTTCCGCAAGTTTTGCCGGCAACTCTTCTAACGGCCAACATCTGGCAACGCTGAAAAATGATGGCAAGGCGCCTGCTATAAACTTTTATAACAGTTCGTCATTTCGTGTGTGTGTGTTTGTGTGTGTGGTTGTGTGTGTGTGTGTGTTTGGGTATGCATTTGATGTTTGTGTTAGCAACAATACAATTTGAAGGGCTATAGAAAGTAGCTGTTATGAGCGATTGTTTTTGGGCAGGGAACAATTCCTTTTGCTTGCATTAGGGGCATTCCCTTTCAACTGCTTTAAGTTGTAAATGTCATTTACAGTTGAGCATTATAATCATAATTATTAAGGAGCCCTTTTTATTAACAGCTTCGGTTTGAATTTGAGCTTTAGAACAATTGAATATTTGGGGAAAAGGGGTTGCTCAGTCCCTCAATGCCCGAGAAATACTTCAAAATTGTTGTCATTTATATTTAATTGAGAACATGAAAAACCCTTCAGCACTTTTGCATGTATTTTAACCCTTAACGTTTTGCTGGCCTAGTAATTTTTTTTTTTTTTTCACAAGAATTTCTTTTAAACCAGCAAAACCATTAGCTAACTTTGCTCTCAACTTATTTAATTAGGTTAATTTTGCATTTGTAACGAGCATCGCCGCACACGAAGGGCAATTTTATGAATTTGCTTTCCAGAAAATAAAAAAAGAAAAATTATGTACATATAATTATGCCACTTTAGTGAGGTTTAATTAATTTGGTCAAGAAATGTGCAACGTTTTAATGTAGGGCAGCATGATGAAGCAAATAAATGTGGCGAAAAATAAATTCTATTCCTTTGAAAAAAAAAAAGCGAAGCGCGCTAAGCGAATCGTCAGTTTTCGATGTTCGAATTTGCTTATATAATAATTAAAGCTTGCTTAACTATTCTTATGAACGTGCTCTGAAGCCTATTTTAAGCTAAACAGCAAGAAAATAACCCTTTCGATACGATTTCGCATACATATATACATAGAAAGAATGTATGAAGTTCAAGCATTTTCATTCATTCTCGAGTCGTTACAAACTAATAATACCCTGTACAGGCTTATGAAAAGTGTATTTAAACTTCGACTTGCCAAAGCAAAGTTTTTCTGTCTTAGTTTTAACAGCCGTCTTTGCAGTTGCGCAATACTTTGAAAACAAATTCGCTCGAAAAAGTTTCGTTCCATAGACTAGAACAAGAAAATCTTCCATAAGCAACAAGAAAGACAACAACTTTTTGTAGATTTCGCAAATTGCTTTAAATTTTTCGTAACTTCGCACTCTTATATCAGCGCGTAAATCAATAAAAACACGTTTAAATCCTGCGCTATTACCAAACTCTTAATGCCATTTTAACTGCATGTTAACAACTTAATAGCTACACTAAAGCCTCACCCCGTCAATGTGCCACAAGCCCACTTGCCCCGGCAGCCATTTAAACTATTTGCAACAAATGCCGACGCCGTTGCCGCACAATTTGCACAAAGCCAAACGATTGTCATTGTTGTTGTTGTTGTTGTTGTGTTGTCTCTCAGTGTGTGTGTGTGTGTGTGTTTTGGTGGAATCCAAGGCTGGGATCTGACTGTGAAGCATATAGCTCCATATATTCGTAAACTGGCCGCAAGCATTGGAATCATTAAAAACTATTTGCTAAGCAAATGCCACAGCACAAAAGCCGCAGCCACAGCCGCAGCCTCGAACCCAGTTTCCAGTTTCCAGTCCCAACAGAGCGCGAATAACAGCAACAAAAATTAAAGAAAGCGTAACAAAAACAGATACAGCAACAATTTGGTTAAAAGCCAGAATAAGTTAAAATGCCAAAAACTTTGTTTTCCAACAATCAGAAAAAAGAACAACAGCAAAAACATAGTAGCAAAAAAAAAAACTCGAATTTTTACAAGCAGAAAATTTATTGTTCTAATCAATGCATAAGCCATGCTAAATTGAGCTGGAATGAAATTAAACTATACGCTGTTATAACACTTAACTAAAATCAACCAGACTTTACTTGACTGAACTTTTCTTTACTATACTGTGAAACTCTCTTGAGAAGAGAGCGTCCAAAAGAGGCGTAAACAGTGAGGCCCGCTTCCTTATGATTAAAAGTAGTCCAAATATAATTCTTTATACTATACTATACTATACTATACTACACTATATTATACCATTTTAAGTGGTATATATGCACATAATACATATAATTTTATGTGTAATGCATAGACGACGATATCTACGTTCCCATAAAGTATCTATATTATAGAACAGCATCCATAGCCGAGTCCGTTCGTCCGTCCTTCAATTTCTTGAAACTTTGCATAGGTCCGTTTGTCTGTTGCAGGTATCTTACACTAACTCGTCATATGGAAGATTCGCTATGTTCCCTACATATGTGCAACATTTTATGAACATTGGCCAACTTTATCATATAGCTGTCATAGGAGCGATCGGTCGAAAGGTAGTTGCTTAATAAAATATTCTGTTTTCCAAACTATTTTTATCAAACTCAACATTTTTGAGCTTTACTGTTCTCGTATGACTGGCGAGCCGATGATATCCTTACTTTCTGTTATTATTATTCCATACATCAATGCATCATCTACCACCTCGTTAAGCCCCTCCTACAAATTACATAGTTATACACAAACTTTTATTATTATATTAAAAACATTTTTTATATTTCATTATGCAGAAGAACTCTAAAGTTCAATTAAAGAATGGTCTAATTTACACATATAAAATGTTATTAAAATTCCCAAACAGCTTAAGCGCTGACTCAATGAAATAATCAAGTGAACTGACAAAAATGTTTGTTTCCTTACCTAAATAGTAAATTCCGCGGCCAGACCTCATAAGCCACATGCAGTAGCGACCACATCCATTAACCTGGCCAACTATAGCCCTAGCCCCAACGCCGGCAACAACAGACATAAAAGCATTCACACCCACACATTTAATTGCACATTTGGTTGCCTAATTATGAAAGTTGTCAACAAATTGCCAACACACAAGAGCAACAACCACAAAGGCCACATTCAAGCCCAAAGACAAAAATGGCGCATAAAAACGTGACCAAGAACTGAGCACTGGGTGTCGGTCGCATCATACATGGCGCATCGTTTATGAGAGCTCAGCCTATTGCATCTCATCTAACAGTTAACAGCACATAATGTTATGGGCCAACACAAACACGCAAGACTCTCTGTGCATGTGTGTGTGTGTGTGTGAGCTGACGGCCTCAAGTGTCATTGACGACACGTCATTTTCTCAAGCATTCATTAATCAGAAATTGCTTGGCAAAAATTGGTCAAAGCGAATTGGATCAAGCATTTTTCCAGCTAGTTGGGAGAAAACAATTTTATTTATAAACAGAAACATTAAATTTCAATGTCGCGCAGCAAAATATTGATTTTATAATTTTCAACCAATTTTTCCGTATTTTAAAATCAAATATTTTGTTTGTCAAATTGTCAAATATGCACAACAAATTGCAGCTTTGTGAAATTAATATGTTTGATAAGGATTAAGATTTATTTAGAAATAGAATTTACAACTTTTTCCACCTTAAATTAAACTCAAAGTTGCTTTAAAACATTATTTCAATTTGTATGCATACAAAGTATTGCAGAAAAATGACCGAAATTGAAAATCTAATAAAAATATTTAAGAAAAATTAGAAAAATAATCTTTTAGAACATATATGAAAAATGCAGAAAAATATTAAAATAAAACAACAAATTAATCAAACAATAGTAAGCTTTAAGACTTTTGGCTAATTGGTAATGCAAACAAGATTCTTGCTATATTCAATATTTTGCTGTAGTTTGCGCAACATCAATATGAAAATCTAACATATTATTTGCATTTACCTGTGCAACACAAAATAATCTGCATCAAGGTTCAGCATTATTTTCTCTATTTTACCCATTTTCTCAATTTCCCTTGGACAGCATCTTTTGTTAACGAACTGTAAGGTAAAACCTTTGCAATATGTAAACATAACCATAAAGCTAGCTGCCCTTGTTACAACCAACTCTGCTGTCTGATAGCTGCCCGCCCACATTAGCATCAGTTGAGTTAATTTAAAATATATTCTGCATACAACGCATTTATTCATATTTATATATGCCATTTTTTTGTATTCTTTTTGAATGTCAATGTGAAGGTTTTTCCCATATTTATTATATATATATATATATTTAATTTTTTTTTTTTTGTTTTTGCACGCGGCTCTTTTCAATGCCAGTCAGAGTGCAAAATGAAATGAATCGATGCAGCTTTGATGCCAATATTTTCACACCCATCGAATGGGATCGAAAATGAAGCTGGCGGCTGTGTGGGCAGCAATAGTTGGAAATTTTCGCTATTTATATGAGCTAATTAGCGTGGTATATTAACTATTTAAATGCAAATTGAGATGCCAAATTTAACACACAAAAAAAGCATGACGAAAATATTATGCACAACAAATGTAAAATTCTCACGCTAATTGAACCTGAAATTCCAATTTAAATAGTATTTGCGCAAACTGGAATTAAGTTCCTATAATTCTCCCTCTCTCTCTTTCTCTCTCTTTCTCTGTGTCTCTCTATCTCAACCCTTTGTTCAGCATCATTAACCAAATTGTCTATCTTTTGTTTCTAGCAGTGCCACAAACATGACCTAAGGGCACAGCTTAAGCCACGCCCCATGGACACAAGGCCAACACAAAAGGGCCAAACACAAGCTATGCAATCGTTGGCCACAACTGAGCGCCATCTGTTCGAAAATTTGAATTTATGAAGCAAGTGACATAAATCACAAAACAGATACCCAAAAAGCTGCAACACAAAACAGCAACGCAAGAGACACAAGCCAGAGAATAGTATGCAATTAGCAGCAACAATTGTGGCACAACATGGATAAGAAATCAAAGACGAAATCTAAAACGAAAAGCCTCAAGCCGAACAAAGAGTCAAGCACGCAACTGGATGTGGATCTATGGGAGGTAATAACGAAAGCTGACTCTGTTATTATGATATAAGACATAGTTATTAAAATTTTCTCATTTTAATATTCAATCCTGCATATGGTACTCTTAAAAAGGGGTTTAAACTATGCTTTCCGATGAACGCTGACTAATAGCCGTAATGATATTTAATGTGGTTCGTAATGGCGACATTTTAGTTGAAATGAGTTTTAAATTCAACTACGAGTATCGATAAGATGAGTATCGATAATCACGATATTCAATTAATGACTTTAAAATACATTAGAAGTATCATCCGATAGTATATATATATGAAAAGTGCAAACCTTATGGATGTGGATCGCATGTAAATTGCATAAACTATACAAATTTTCGATAGGTATGATATTTCATAACCCGATTTAATTAAGCATAGTTAAAATAGGTGTTATTCAATTAATGAACCTTTTTACAGTTTTACAGCAATATAATATTGATCGATAAGCGATAAATGAATGTGAATCGTATTTCGGAAAGCGATTAATTTTCTTATTGCGATAAGCGATAAATATTGAGCGTAATGGATATGGGTGTGGATAGTATTAGGAATCATTTTATAGTCGTACATTAATCTATTTAACGATAAACCATGAAGGAAGATCGCATTTAATCGATATCGATATTCTGTTTACAAATAACTTGAAAAGTAGAAATAGTTATGGTAATTCAAAACGCCATTTAATAACGTTTCCCGATAAACAACAAATCGTGAACAGAATCGTGGTGTGAATCGTGTTACGAAACATGTAACATTTTTTCATTATTTATCGATAGGCGATAAATGATTTTGAATTCACTTGATTTGACTGGCGCGCTAGAGCGCATATGAAATTCGTTGTGACCCACATAATGCGCCATTAATGAGAACAGAATGCCATTCATTCCTGCTGCCTGGCAGCTGGCCAGACGTTTGTCAAGTGACTGTCATGCTAGGTTAACTAACTGGGTCAACCTTTTCAATCCTTGCAGCAAAATGAGGATCGTTTCACCAGCTGTGAATTCAATGTGGAGCACAAAGTACACAAATTGCCGCACAATAACAAAAAGGCAACAGCAGCTGGAACGCTTGGAGCAGCTACTGCAGGCGGTGGTGGCGCCGTGGTCTGTCCGGGTAATGCGGCGGCATTAACATTGACAGCAACGGCATCAGGCAAGGAGGTGACAGCGCCTCAGCTTAGCACCACGCCCACAGCCATCAGCATTGCTGGCTGTGCGTCGGGCACGGCGCTGGTCACACTGGACGCACTAGACGCGGTGACCATTGAGACAGCCGAACCGGAACGTGGCAACTGGACGGGACGCTTTGATTTTCTGCTCTCGCTGCTGGGCTATTCGGTGGGCCTGGGCAATGTCTGGCGGTTTCCGTATCTCTGCTACAACAATGGTGGTGGTAGGTTACGGTGTTATCCCCTGAATTAATATCGCTGCCAAACTAACTTAACATTTTTACTTGCAGGCGCCTTTCTAATACCCTTCACCATAATGCTCATCATAGCTGGTCTGCCGCTTATGTTCATGGAGCTCTCGTTTGGCCAATATGCTGCACTCGGTCCTGTGGCCATCTATCGACGGTTTTGTCCACTCTTTCGCGGCCTGGGCACCGGCATGGTCATCGTTTCGGCCATTGTCATGCTGTATTACAATCTGATCATTGCCTGGACCATATTCTACATGTTTGCCTCGTTTCGCACACAGTTGCCCTGGCAGAACTGCGAGCCGGAGTGGAGCACGGAAAGTGAGTAGACAGTCTAAGAAAAAATTTGGTCCAAACAAGTTTTTTTGTTTGGCAATAAATTAAGCAAATTGCAAGCTGTCAAAAGTAAAACTTTCTTTTCTGACACAAACTTTTACTTGACCATAACGACGCATACGTGGCCGAAATTCCTGAAGGACATAACCTTTTCCATGGGCTCGTTTCAGTTATTAAATTTGCTAAGAAAATATTAATGTAACTCCCTAGCTGACCCATAACATCAATAAAGTGTTATCTTATTGGCAGGTATCGATAACACAGCCAACTTGTTATCGAATGTCGATAACACAATCCAGTTATGTGCATAAATCGATATCGATAACGTAAGCTTGATAAAGTTTTCATGATAACTCTTCATTAAACTAACTAACTCAGAATGAACATTCTGAACTATTTTATTATAATTGTTACTCTTTTGCAATGAATTTTCTTATTTATAAGTATCGATACTATAGTTTGGTTATCTGTATACGTAATGTACATAAATCAATATCGATACCTTGAGCTTGAAAAATGTATTTTACGTACCACCGCAAATGTGAACGCTGTCTTGACAAATTTGCCAGCTGGGTTTTTATTCGCTCGCAATTTACGCAGATGTCAACAATAAAAGGCAACTTTTTGCCAAAAATGATAATAATAATAATAATAAACAGGCAGCAACAACAAAGACAACAACGAGGCGACCAGCTCACAGCCTGACAACACGGCAGCGCCTTGAAGTAGGCAATTGTTTTTGTGCTACGGCTCGTTGGCTTTCATGTGACATTGCAAGAGGTGTGTCCGCACAATGGGCGTGGCAGGGCAGATGCGGCTGCGGCTGCGGCTGCGGCTGTGACAGCAGCGCATATTGTGCGAACTTAAGCGTGCATTTGATTTCTTTGCACAGACAAACACGCACACACACACGCACACACACACAGCTATGTACAATACAAACAAACGGGACACAATTTAAAATTTTGTCCGCCACGCTAAGGACATAAATCTTTAACGAGTCTTTGCGAGCGTACCAGGCAGTCAAGGCTTTTGTTTGAACTATGTAGGTGGCAAAATGTAGAGCATCAGACAAGTTATAAAAGCAATATGGACTGCGTTGTGAGTTCTGACAACTAACACACAAGCACAAACACCGAAGTATAAGCCGCATTAAGCTCAAATTTGGGCCAAAATAAAGGACAATATAGCAGTTGATCAAATGTAAAAAGTATATGTTATAAATTCGTCTTTTGTATAGATATACGTTTGGTAGAGCATACAATAGTCGTTGCTTGAGTATAACATATTTTGCAGCTTCTTTTGCAGCTTTTTTATGAGCCGCTTGCTGCATACTTTGCTTATTTTATTGCGGCTGCCTTAGTAGCACTTAAACATGTATACACACACACAACCACCCACACACACACACACACGCTCACTCACACTCAAGTGGCGCTCGTTGGTTGTAGCCTGTACAAGTAATAATCATAGCAACAACAACGGCAACAGCCCAACGCCATTGAAAGTTTTTGCATGAGCTTCAGCAACAGCAGCAGCTGCCACTACCCACCGGCCACCGCCCAACACCCAACACCCACCCACCTACCACCCATCGCTCCCGCTTGGGGCAACATGATTTAATATGGCCGCCATTGATGCAAAGCCACAGTCTAAAGAAGAAGAAGCAGCAGCAGCAGCGCGAAAAAAAACATACGAAACGCCAGTCGACGCGTTTCCGTTTTGTCGGTCGGCAATAGAAATCGATATACGCAATAGATGCGATTCCATTGTTTGCCTCGCCCACATCGCTGTCTGAGTTGTTGTTGTTGTTGTCGTTTTAATATACCCTGCGCCCATTAAATGTACCAAAAATGGTTGATATCTCTGAAGCCACAAAGTGCATATATTCTTGATCTAGACAGGCTGGTTCGATGAAGATTATCTGAGTATATACTCTCGAGCACCCTGAGGTAATCGAGCCTTTTTTATTTTTCCGATAATATCCGACCTTTGTGAACTATCCAAGAATTTCGACATACATCCTGACATCCCGACATCCTGAGATAATGAAGCCTATCTTATTTAATCGATAACTTCGGCCTTTGACAATGTCGCATAAATTTCGATATACATACTAAGCTAATCAATCGTACTTTGATTTTACGATAACGTTTGCCTTTAGACAACAATCGATAAATATCACCAAACAGCATAGAGTATCTTTAATTAATTATCAGGTTAGGTGTGAGGTAATCAAGCAAATTTTATTATTTCGTATAGCTACCGATAAATATCGTTTGGTAATCAAGCTTAATCCGATAACTTCTGCCTTTTGACCACAAGACGATAAGTTTCAGAATACAACCTATGGCATCTTTAATTATTTAGTTTGCAAACTAAGTTTTAAGAGAATGGGAAAATTATATAGGTATGCAGAAATGTATTTTATAGCAATTTAGCAGAGCTAAATAAAAGGTATATTCACGTCGGAAGAACGTTTTCTGCTTTTTAGCTAGAAAATTGGTGCTTAAAATGACAACAATTATGTCTAAACAGTTTTTGACATTCAATCGGCAGCGGGCTGAATGCCTACTCGCAACTTTCTGCTGTGCGCTGGCTTTTTATAAGCTCTTTAGCTACATACACATACACACAATGAAACACACACACACTCGCAATCTCAGTGACAGACAAGCAATTTCTTAAGGATTTCATTTATTGACACTTTCACCTCGTCTCGTCTGTGGCTTTGGCCTCGTCTTCGTCTTTGACTTCGCCTATGTCCTCGTCCTGGTTCTTGTTCTCGGTCTCGTTCTCGTTCTCGTCCTTGTCTCATCGAATTTTAGATGATAAATGTTTACTTTTAGCCTCATGATTAAAATGTGTTTAACTTGTTTGTCAATTGATTGAATATCTAGAATATCGTGCACTCTAAGCTCAGCCGGCCTCAGTTTGTTTGTGACCCTCAACACAAACACAAACAACAATAACACAAACATAAACACTTTTTCGGTCAATATTTTACTGGCAAATTCTTTTTTTTTTTGTGCCTTTAAGATGTTTGAGAAAGAACTTGCATGTGAGGCTCTGTTTGATTTATTTTCGTTTTTATTGCTTTCTTTATTTAGTGTTAGCTTATTGTCAAACAATTAATGCTTATTATGCGCAAACATTTGTGACATTGCCAACAGGGATTATACTTAGAAATAAATACAAAGAATAGAGCAGGATTTATGGATATATGTAGCTAAAATGCTTAAAAAAAAAAACAGGCAGCAATACGGTTTAATAATAAACTGTATTTTAATTTATCTTAAACTTCTTTAACAAATTGTTAGATGATTGAATTGGTTGCCAGATGGAAAACAGTTTGTCTCTCTGACCAAGTTGCTTTATCAAACTAAACTGTAACTGCTCCTTCAATTACTTTTTGAACCAACTGGCAGTCCTGTCTCGATAAATAAATTAATTGCCAGTTGGAGAGCAGCTCAACAATAAAAGAAATTATATTGAAGAATAAATCGAAACAATAGAGATATGTCTATAGGAACACTTCAACAGTTATAAGACAAGTTAGCCAAGGGGTTTTACTCAACTTAAATGTACTTCCTGCTTCAATTAGTTTTTCAACAAGCTGGCATCCTGTCTAGGTCAAACAACAGAAATACTTCTCTTATGGTTAATAAACAATTAATACACATAACTATTTTTTTGGATTCTAGCACAGAGCATAATTGACCCAAAAAAAAATGAATCTATCGCAATGGTAACAAGAAATGCTCCGTAGCGAGTAACAGCGATAGTATCTAAATAAAAATAAATTGAGCAAAAGTATAAGTATCAATTAAGAGACTATTTCGATTATACTTTTAAATTCAATTTAATTGAGCACATAAACTCTGGTCCAATCACATAAAATTTAAATAAATTCCCAGCATGTGTTTGGCTTGTATTTGTTTTTATAACTTTTTAATTGGGTCAATAAGGTTGCTTAGCTAATCAAATTTGATGTTGTGGACTCAAACATGTGCCAACGGCAGATGGATCAACGAAAACTGTTAGTATAAAAGTTTGTACAACAAAAAGTTGAAGGCTGACATCAAAAACTTAAAGGTCACAAAATTTAATGGCAATTTCCTGTGCCAGTCGACTTGCGAGCGGCTTATATAACAATCTTATCTGGGTGTATGTGAGTGTTTCTCTATTTGTGTGTGTGTGTGCGAGTGTGTGTGTGTATTTGTAATCAAATGTAAGATGCCGACACGAACAAGCAACACATAGACGCACAGTTGGCTGGGTAGACACGCTCGAGTTGGCCAAATTGAAAGGCAGACAGTTTTTGCCTGCTGCCGCATTCACATAAAGTTTTATATGATTTGTATCTACGGGTTGTATCAGGCTATCTATCTGTGTGTGTGTGTGTGTGCTTGTTTGTGTGCATGTATGTTCGTATTAAAATTAATTGCATAACAAATAAAGGCAGACAGGCAAATTAAACGGCGTGTAAACACTTTGAAGCCGCCCCATGCCCCAAAAAAAAAAAATACCAAACCAAAAAAAAATTCAACTCCAGCTCGCCCGCAACAACCACAAGAAATTGTGTTCAATTTTCATTTGATTTTCATTTTGTTGCTGATTGATTAGATGATGAATATGCTGTAAAAAGCAACACAACCCACATTTATAGAGGGCCATATTTATATGTGTACAACCTTGGCTTTAGTATAGTCGTAGCCGAGCACCCCAGATGGGACTCTGGCGACCTATGCGGCGTATGAGTAACGTGGGGCAATTGAATAAACGCTGATTGAGTTGGGTTGGCGCTTGTCGGGCTCTTTGATTAATTTGAATGGAGTTTTGCAGCCATATATACATGAAAAACACATCATATTTAAGCTAAAATTGGCTCTTCGTCATCCACACAAATTGAAATATTCGATTTCTGAGTGTACAAGTTTTGAACAGGATTCTTAGCCATCTATTTGACAAGTACGAAATTGATGGGGTACATATTAAACACTTAAAGAAATGACATAAATGTGTATGCGCAGGACACAAAGGTAGATAAATAAATTATTATTTCACGTAAATCAAAAAGATTCAATATGCTGTTGTCAACAATTAAAAACTTCTATAGCATTGATGCATTTGAGGCTCTTTAAAGATATTGAATACTAAAACAAGCAAATGTTGGGAACATTTTTCAAGCTGTTTTAAATGATTAGACATTACCCCAATTATCTGTAAAGTCCGCAGTCTTTTCTTATTTGTTCTATAAGTGGGCTGCTTGAATATGAGAATTTCGAAGTGGGCAGCTCCAGCTATGCTTTAACTAGCTCGTCGGACAAATATCTCCCAACGAATAATACTTACTATATTCCAACAACAGAGCGATGCGTAAAAGAGTCAGATGGGTTTGACTATCTTTTTTCTCTATTCTATTCGAATTTTCGATACATCTTTTTTATCTATATCGATAGATATGGTATATAGCTTAAATCTGATGCATAAGTATTTATAAGGATCATTACATTAAATAGATATATGTCTCGGTTTGTGTAGAATTATCCAGATTTGTCAGGTAAGGGTGGTTTTTTGTCTTCTGCCTTGAAAATATAATAAACGGAAAACGCTTTTCAAAGGATATGCAAAATATAAAAATTATTTTTGGCCAACATTTAGCATGGCTTGAAAAGGGTTTTTAATCAGACTTTTTGAAAAGGGCAACAATTTGCTACCAATCAATTGCGAAAACCTTAATTTCAACCGTAATCACAATTTGAAATACATTGCTGTACGTAATCAACTTGCCGACCCCTTTCCCGCTCCTACTTAATTCTATTCCGACTAGTTTCAGACAGTAAATGTGGCTGTCTAAAATTGAGACTGTAGCTCTCTTTATTGGCAGCTACGTGAGCTGCATGGCAAATTTGAAAATTAATTGCATGCCAAATTGACAGGTGCATACAAACTCGTTTGCGAGTTGCGGAGAAAAACGAAATGTTTATTAAAATCAAATGCCATACAATATTCACAATATTGCAAGGGCAAAAAATTTAAATCATTTTTTTGTTTTTTTTTTTTTTTTTTTTTTGTTTTAGTAGACCTCACAAAGTTGCAAACAGGAAAATTCATCACAGTGGTTGGGGCGTACAGTCCATTAGCCAATGGACCGCTGGGCAAGTGGCATGCAACTTGACTCAGCATTTGCTGCCACTTTTCATTTGAACAGCAAACAGAGAATGTCCAATTGCGAGCTCTAAGCCTGGCAACCAAAGCAACCAATGCAGCCAAAAACAGTCAGCAGTCAGTTGGTCATTTTTGCGGTCAACCGCAAGCCTCGTTAGTCAGCTGAAAGACTCAAAAAACTTTGGCATTTACATGCACACACACACACACACACTGAGAGAGAGAGAGAGGCCAGCACACATGCAACCCGCTCATAAGCATCAGCTTAGAGTCTTTTTTTGGTTGGCCAAAACTCATACGCACCGTGTGGCAGGCGTCGAGAGTCACACAAGTCAAATGTCATAAACATTTGCTGGCTAGCACACGCGTTGTGGCAGCTAGATTAGGTGTACCGCCAGCAGGAAAAAGGCGCCCACAAATTGGCAGAGTCAGGTGTGCCGAAAGCCATTTAAAGTGCGTTCTCCAACCGAATTCGCGCTAACGGCTGAGTGGACAGCTCGTAAACAGCGCTCCATTAGCAAATTATGCACCTAAATTTTGCCGGAAATGACCTGGTTCACAAACTCACAAGCTGATTAAAATGCTTCATAAACTTGGACAAATCCTTGAGCTATGCAGCTGCGATTTGACGCATATATTCAATGCTGATTAAGTTTATGAAATAGAAACAAATTAGAGTTAAAATTTTGTATAGAATACCATGGCCTTGCCTCTAATCAACTGTGTCAGCGTTTCTATTGACCTTTAACCTCTTTGTCGATATCCAACATCGATTTGCTTTGGCCTCAGCTCCATAAAGTACGCTCTTCAAATTTAATCAGGCTTGGGTCAACAAACGGAACCCGTTGCTCCCGCTGTCATAGGGGCTGACAGCCCTTTAGACAATTTAACCCTTTTAAATACCCCGTATTTAGAAAACTTAGCGGCGCTGTCTTGTACAAATAAATTCATAATTTGCGCTGTCTTAAATAGTTGCAGCACAATTGAATGAATATTTTGCATAGACTTGGATTGTTAAAGTTAAAGTTAGTTTGTTACAGGGTATTTCAAAGTCTTAACAAATATAACATGCACATAGGCTTATACGGAATACATATAATTATTAAGCTTAAGCAGCATTTTTTAGTGCCTTTAAACACACACTTGTTTGCCTAGATTCAAAAACATTTAAAAAGGCAGCAAAGCTTTAAGAATGTTGTTTTCTGAGTCTTCTCTCTCTATATATGTAGGGTGTTTCTAAGTCGAACTTTAAAAATATGCTTTCTACATTAAACGGATTTCAACAAAAGGACCCTTTCGAATTGTACAACTTCTATATTGCTTCCATACAGGGTATCTTTAAGTTGCATACCTCAACTGTTTGACACATTCTGCTTTCTGTTTGCTCGCTGCCAACAGCAACAACAACAACAACAACAACAACAGTTGTCGCCCAACCCTTTTCATGTTTTCCACTGATTTGCTACTTTGTCCTTTTAATTATGAATCCGCACAAAAGTTGCCCGGCTCGTGCTTTGTTGTCCTTTCGCACACATTCGAGTCCCTTTTCAGCGCTGCCATTTCCTTGTCTTTCTTTCCATCCCTCTCTACCTATCTCCCTCTCTCTCTCTCTCTCGCTTAATCTCCCACTCATTCTTACACTCTCTGGTCTGACAAATAGTTCATAAATATAAAAAAAAAAATTGCTGCCCCTTTATGCATAATTGAGTAACTGTCGACTTGAATTGTTGGACGAGTGTCCTGTTTTCATACTCTAAGCTCTTTTAATGTGGTTTTAAAGAGTATATTGGGCTTGTGAAAATGTTTGTAACAGGCAGAAGAGCCCAATCCATAAAGTATATTTCTGCTCAGCAAAAAGGTCTGAGTCGAGCTTCTAAAAGCTAGACAGACACCAAATTTAGTAATTAGGATTAGAATATTTTATAAAGATCGAACAATTAATACCGAAATTTTTCAAGTTCATCTACCTTTGAGTTGAGTTAAGAAGAAACACAGACGCAGCAAAAAGTGCATATGTGTGCTTGTTGTATATGCATAGAGGGATAAATGTTTGTAGCATACTTATAAGGGCAGCTCTGCTCTTGGGTACAGGATAATTTCTAGTCTGGCACTTCCCACTTGCTTTGCACAATTTGCTAACTAGTTGATGACACTTGCAGATTGCTTCTCCTACGTGATGGCGGATCAGTGCGAGGCCATCAATGGCACCTACTATCTGCGCACCTGCTACAATGCGACCTATGCGGAGGATCACAATATAACGGAACTGGCGCTGCACGCCCTCAAGCGTCCACCGGCCGAGGAGTACTTTAAGTGAGTGGATTAAATATGGTGTAGAAATGTTGATTGATTCCAAATCGCCTTAATCGCCTCTCCTTCCATTTACAGCAACTATGTGCTGGGCCTGTCGTCGGGCATTGAGGAAACGGGCAGTATTAAATTTTCATTGGCCGCCTGCCTGCTCATCGCCTGGGTCATTGTCTTTCTCTGCCTGTGCAAGGGCGTTCAGTCCTCGGGCAAGGTCGTCTACTTTACCGCCTTGTTTCCCTATTTGGTCTTAGTCATACTCTTCTTTCGGGGCGTTACCCTGCCGGGCGCCAGTACGGGCATTTTATTTTATCTAACGCCCGATTGGAAGCAACTAGCCAACGCTCAAGTGAGTCATTCTTAGATAAACTTAGACATTTTCAGTTGATTTAAATATCTCTTTTATTACAGGTCTGGGGAGATGCCGCTGTCCAGATCTTCTTTGCGCTTAGCCCCGCATGGGGAGGCCTCATCACTTTGTCCTCCTACAACAAGTTCTCCAACAACTGCTACAAGTAAATATCATAAATACATATACAATCCACAGCTTCGCTTCTGCATCATGTTCAACCCAATAATTATCTGAATGATCCCCTAACATAACTTTAAAATTGATATAAATATAAAAGTCTTTATTTATTTTTGTAATCCTGATTAACTAACGGAGCTCGTCTTGTTAAGTTTCTCACTATTTTCTCGCTCAGTTTGATTTCACACGTTTGGCAGACAATTTCACTGACAATGGTGAAAATTAGGTGAAAGCCTTAACTTTACACTTTTATGGCTTTTTATGCGACGATTCTTTTATAAAATAGGCAAAAGACGTGTTTCACGCTTTTAAAAAACCAACCAGACCCGACCAAAAACCTGTCTATATCAGCTATTCAACTGTATATTGATCTTCCGTCCATATCCTAAATTTGCGCATCTTTCAGGGACTCTCTCATTGTGGCGTTTTGCAACATAGCCACGTCGTTCTTTGCGGGCCTGGTCATATTTTCCATCATTGGTTTTCTGGCTCATGAACTGGATGTGGAGGTGAAAAAGGTTGTGGATCAGGGCGCCGGCTTAGCGTTCATTGTCTATCCGGAGGTGGTGACACGTCTGCCCATTTCACCGGTTTGGTCGGTGCTGTTCTTTGTCATGCTGCTCACCCTGGGCCTGGACTCGCAGTTCGCTCTGATGGAGACCGTAACTACTGCCATTTTGGACAAGTTTCCAAATCTGCGACAATACAAAACTTGGGTTGTACTCTTTGTGGGCATATTTGGCTATGTGGGCGGCCTTGGCTTTACCACCAATGTGAGTATATCGCAGATATATATATATATATTTGTCTACTTAAGCCTTATCAAATTTAGAGCGGCATGTACTGGCTGCAGCTGATGGACAAATATGCTGCCAATTGGTCGGTGCTGCTCATTGCCATATCAGAGTGTGTGCTGATTGCCTGGATTTATGGATCACAACGTTTTCTAAATGATATACAGGGCATGATTGGCAAGCGTTCGCGTCTATGGAATTTCTTCTGGGGCTTTATGTGGCGCTATATAACACCCGCAACGCTCTTGGTAAGTTGTGTGCTGCTTCTTTATTTCTAAGATTTTTCGTTTATCCTCCATGGTCATTTGAAGTGCTTTCATTTTAGCTCCAAAGTTGAAAATTGTTTGCATTAAAATTTTAAATCTGTGCTCTCTACATTTTTCACTATCCTCCATATCTTAGCCAGCCCATGCACTAAATCCACTTTCCACTTGCAGTTTATTTTGTTCTTCAACTGGGTAGAGTACAAGCCCGCACAGTATGGCCATTACATATATCCCCTATGGGCGGATACTGTGGGCTGGATCGTCGGTCTATTGCCGGTGTTTATCATATTTGTAATAGGCGTACAACAGATCTTCAAGGCGCCAAAACATCTGAGCTTTAGGGAGCGCATCAAGGTTCTGATGCGACCCACCGCCGAATGGGGACCCGCTGGCAGACCCTGCGTCAATTTGCATGCCGAACGCTATCAGAGCCAAAATTACGATGGTGTGACCAACACCCAAATACTGATTAGCGGGGCGCCCACGGATGTGATGCCTTACGAGGATGCGGTCAATGGCAATGCGGCTGACAGCAATGGCAACGGCAACAACGGCTATCGGGATGAGGCAATGCAACTCTGAGAGCGAGTGAACGCATCCTCGTCGGCGATGGCCAGCGTTGACGTGGATGTGCTGCCCATGACGGTGGGTAAGCTGCCAGGACCGAGCATATTGAAGACATCGGCCAAGCTCAGCGGCAACAGCAACCAGCAGCAGGCTCAACCGGAAAACGGGCGACACAAGCCAAAACCAGAGTCAACTGGCAGCCAGCAGCCGCCCATCAAAGCGGATAATCAAAGCCAGCAACATGCGAGCACGCCAGCAACAGCAACAGTCGCAGCTACCACCAAGGTCTGGTCCACAGGCACCATGAGCAGCGGACGTGAGTGCAACACCATGTCCACATTCGCGGCAACAGCAGCAGCATCAACTGTTGGCACAGGGGGCGCTGGCGGTGAAGTTTCTGCAGAGCTGGCCATGTCCAAGACGACAGCTGCTGCCGTTGCCGGCACCCAGGCGAAAATAGCAACAACTAGCAGCAATATTGCTGCGGTGCCAGCTGGCAAGAAGCCAGACATAGCTCTAACGACTTTTATGCCAGCCACAAAGCCAATAACAACAGCTGTTGCTCAAGCCAATACCAGCAAAACGGGTGCAACAGATGTGCATATGACTGCTGTCAGCACAACAGCAATCAATGGCAGAGTCGCTGCAACAGCAATAGCTGCAGCAAATCCAAATTCCCAAATAGTATCCACAATGAGCGTGTCGACAAAAGCACAGCCAAACATAGGTGTCGGCAATAAAACAGCGAAGACAGCAACAACAGTTGCTGCACTCACAGCAGCAACATCAATAACAGCCACCAACAAGTCGCCAATGAGGTCATTAAAAATTATTACAACAATCTCAAAGCCAGTTGCAAGTGTTGCTGCCAATTCAGCCACAACAGTTGCTGGCGGGACAACAACAAACTTAAGTGGTACTACAAAACCTCCAGCAATGACAGCCGTAACCATTGTGGCAACAAATGTGGTTAGCAATGCAACAAAGCCAGCAGCAACAACACCAAATACATCTGCAACTGTTGCAAACAATATGCCCAAGACAACAGTAATAACAGCAGTGACAACTGCAACTGTTGCAGGTAATATGCCAAAGCCAGCAGCAACAAGTGCAACTGCTGCAAGCAATATGCCGAAGACAGCAGCAACAACTGCAACCGTTGCAGGCAATACGCCAAAGACAGTATCAACAACTGCAACTGTTGCAAGCAATATGCCAAAGACAGCAGCAACAACAGCAAATACAGCGGCAACTATTGCAAGCAATATGTCAAAGACAGTCGCAATAACAGCAGTGACAACTGCAACAGTTGCAGGCAATATGCCAAAGTCAGCAGCAACAACTGCAAGCAATATGCCGAAGATAGCAGCAACAGCAACAACTGCATCTGGTGCAAGCAATATGCCGAAGACAGCAGCAATATATGCAACAACAACTGCAACTGTTGCAAGCAATATGCCAAAGGCAGCAGCAGCAACTGCAAGTGCTGCCGCAAAGCCAATTGTAGTCAACACAGCTACCACGATTATTGCCGGCAACACAGTTGAAATAACAAAGGCAGCACCTGCAACAACAACCACTGCAGTTGTCGGCAGTAACATACCAGGTGCAAATCAAAAAGATGCAATTATAGCCCCACCAGCAGCAGCAGCAACAACACCAATAAAGCCCACAGCAAGCACACCAGCAACATCAAAGCCAGCAACACCAACAGCCGCAGCAAAGCCCACAGCAACATCACCGACAAAAAAGGCAACAACAGTCTCAGCAACAACAACATCAAAGGCTGCCATAACACCAACAGCCACAGCTAAGCCCATAGCAACATCACCGACAAAAAAGACAACAACATACTCAGCAACAGCAACATCAAAGCCTGCAACAACACCAACAGCCACAGCAAAGCCCACAGCAACATCGCCGACAAAAAGGCCCACAACATTCTCTTCAACACCAGCATCCTTCAAGGCACAAGCTAACAAACCAACAACAACAGCAACAAACAGCAACAGCAACATGTCGCCAAAGATAACCAAAGCAACAACAGGCAAGCCGACAGCAACAACAAGCCCCACTAAGACAGCAAACAAACCGATGATAACAACAACTACAGCAGCAACAACAACAACTACAGCAACAACAAGCAAGTCGGCGGCAACATCAAGCAAAACGAAAGCAGCTGCAACATTAAAGAAGTAAAATGAAGGCAAGTCTCAAGAGCCGATATTGAAGGTATTTCCAATATCGAACACTATTTTTCTAAGTATATATATTTAATGTTAATGAACTCGAGCTAAGCAAAAAAACACGCTGTTAAGCCTAACAAGTACTATATACATATATATAAGTAAATGTTATATACCTAGATGTTTATATAGAGGCAGATTTTATAAATATTTATTTGGATTACTTTTACTTGGTCGGCGAACAGCAACAGATTTGAGCAAAGCAAGTTGCAACATTTTCGAGAATTTTAACAGTTCCCCGTGAACTTTGAACATTTGCCAAAAAGAAATTCAAATCCTGAAAGCAAACTTGAAAGGAACCAGAAGAAATCGAAATATTCGGACTGCCGAATATTTAATACACTTGCAGAGGTCATGATGTAAAAATGTAAAACAAAACATTAAATTCATTCAGATGTCAACTAAAGCTCATACTTAGTTAAACCTAATCGAATTAAACACTGCAAGGGTATTACGACAAAAATAAGCCTAAACATGTTTCCTAGCAATACACACTATCAGCATATATATGTATATATGCATATATGTATATATGCAGTATGCCCCGATCGTGTACCTACACACACAAACTATTTTTCAATAGTTCCTTCTTAACTAAGTTCTTTAGTATATGCTCTATGTTCATATTAGTATTATGTTGAAAGACTCATTGCAATTACCAAAAAGTTAACGTAGTTTTTAGTAATTCACCAAAAGGGCCCGTTTCGATTGTTGTGCATAGGAAAAAGTGTCTATATTATTGTTATTATTATTATTATATATATATACACATATAACTAATATGCCCCGATTATATATGTATTTATATGGTACCTATTGATTATGATTAGAAACGAGAGAGCAATGCAAAATGGCAAATGAAATGTTCAAGTTGTTTAAAAAAAAATGAAAAAAAAACCTAAATTTATATACAAAATACCCTATATACAACATAAATACTACACATATACAACAACAAATAATGTTTATTTTTATTGCAAATGTTGTTTAAAGAATATTTTGAAACATTTTTTATGCATTTTATAAAGCTTGCAATTTGGGCAAAGGGCAAACGCCAAGGCAAATGTTGGATTTTAGACTTTACACAAAATTTTATTTGGTTACGTTTAGTTTTTTATGCATGTTTAGGAGCAAATATAATTAGTTAATATTATTATATGTGTAGATGAAACTGTTCAATGTCAAATGTGTATGTGTATAACTCTATTTTGATAGGCCTAAATAAAAGAGAGACTCATGTACCTAAATGAAATTAAGATACGAGTGGATTATTCAAGATGCATATAACTATAATGGATCTGAAGGCAGAGAAAAAAATCTAAGTTTAAGCAAATATTTAGACATGTTTTATGTGTGTGTTTGTGTGTATTTACTTAGTCGAACTAAAACTAATACACTAACTAACCTAAGCTCACATCAAAAACACATAACAATAATTAACTTGAAGGAAAATAATAACAAAAAAATATATATAGATATATAATTTATACGTATATATGTATTGTTGTTAAAATATACTATTTATAATATATATACATGTTATTTGACGTAAACAAGATCATATAAGCTGTGTGTTGCCTAAAACAAAGAGTAAAGATTGTATTAAAATATACCTTAAAAAATATATATATAAATAAAATATTTGTATGTGTTTCTACATGTAGCTAGTGGTAGAATAAATGTAAATCGAATAGCAAAGTATTACACGTATTCTGTCGGAAATGCTCAATCAAAACAATTCGAACTGTTTGCGTTAGAAAAACACTTTCTTTCAACTTTTACTAAGTTAACAAAATGAATAAAAATGAAACCAAAAATGATTTTACCCCAAGCAAACCCCATAATTTGTGATAGCTGATTTGAAGACATTTGAAGATTTCTTTTTTAGACTATGTTAAATTTTTTGAAATGAATGTTATGCATTGTCCAGATATAGGGATTAATTGAAATATTTATATGTTATACACTTATGATATATGAGCATGTAAGAAAATTACCAAAACAGGAATTTTAATCAATTGTTGTACTTGAGTTGTCGTTGTTTTTAGCGCAGTAGCTGTGACATAATATTACGAATCAATGTGCTAACTGTACCTAGAAGTTATATGAGGCATATAAAACAAAAATAAAAAACTGTTAAATGATTAACCAATTGTTGCATGCCGTTAGTTGATGTGGATGTATGTATGTGTACCTGTAAAACTAAAAAGATACAAAAAAGAAAAACCTAAAAAAAAAAAAAATTATCAACAATAATCTAAATATGGAAATGTTAAATGGCTGTTAAGAAAACTAAAAATATGTTGTATATGATCAAAATGCAATTGAAAAACACAAAAAAAAATTTAAAAAAAAAAATACATATTTAATGTGGTGTACATATTGAAAATGAGCTAAATATTTTCAGATAAGCAAATCAAAAGCAATTTGCTAAAATCAAACAAATTTAGTTAACCCCAACTAAAGTATATCTATCAAAGCTGTCAATTTCGACGAGAATCAGTGTTATGCATATGCTCAATATTTAGGATTGAAACTAGCCTCTAAGAATGTTTACTTTAAACAAAATTAATAACAAAATCTACCCATGCCGCAAACAAAAAAAAAAAAACAAAAAACAAAGAGGAGCTTCAAAATTTTATACGAAACTTTGAGCTGCGAGAGAGAGCACGAAACGTATAAAGTTAAAACAGAGAAATGTTGCAAAATTCATATCGCTACATTAAGCAAAGTAAAAATAGTTATACGATGGCAACTGTAATCTTGAAAAAAAAAACTCCACCCACCTTTCTTATGTACAGTACGCTCGATGTACAGTAAGAACTCATTGAAATGCAACTACAAATATATAAAAAAAAAATAAACAAAAGGCAATTGAATGTAATAAAAAATAGCATAAATATATAATATCTGATATATATATATATATGCCGCAGAATAGAATTGATGTATTAATTATATAAAATAAGTTTAACTTATATGGAATTATATTAAGTTATTTTATGTGCAGGTCGGAGTTAGTCGACTAGTTAATGCCCTATACCTAAGCTGAACATTTTGCTTATACTTCAATATCTTTTTTTTTCAACTTAAATGTTTGACATTTCCTTGGTCGAATAACGAAATTATAAATTCGAGTTATAGGCATGGGGCAAAGGTATAATACAAAATAACTGTTGACTATACTAACTTTATAAAAAGAAAAAGAAATGTTCACAACTTTAAATGTTGCAAAGAAAAAATAACATTAACAACTATACAATTATTTTGTATGTACTATAAATTAAACCAAAATAAACAATACTTACGAGCCATACTCATTGTTCGCTCAAGATTTACATATAGTTCATAAATCATCTTCTAAAACATGAGAGCTTCAAACTCAAGAATATATTGTTATAAACTTGAAGCGAACATTGGAAAAAAAGCAGCCCCTAATAATTCTTTACTGTTCTTGTGTAATTGCCTATAATGCACGCAATATGCATGTGAATGTAAAATTGACAAAATGATTATATTCCAAAGAGGCCAACAAAACCAAATAAACTAAAGCTATGTTACAATAACATAAGAGAAAAATTATTGTATTATTAGATAATTTATGAATAAATATATATGGGTTTTAACAACAACAACAACAAAGAGAACATACATTTTTAAAGATAACAAAACAAATATTAAAAAAAAAAAGAGAAAAATATATTCGGATAAAGTAAAAAAGTAAATTGTGGAGGGAAACAAGGATGATCGTTTTCCCACGGATTTGATAACCGTTATGGGCACCGAAGGCGTAATTCCCACCAAATTTAATCTGCCTACTCTTGCATAATCGGCATTAATTATAATTAAATTAATCCGGCCAAAGAGAGCGGCTCGCTATCAAAAATTCGTACTTAATAAATCTATGTCAACACCACCGCGATGAGATTTGAACCCGCGAACGCAGCCCGAAAATTTAATAAACGGAACGTCAGCGAGCGACGCCACGAGCGCATCGTTCAACAATTCGTCTAAATTTAGTTTTGTTGAAAGGTGCTGAGTCATCAAGAGAGGAACAATTGAGAGCATATTATTAAGAGAAGAGAACTCTTTGAACTGCTTTCAAAGTTAACTGCTTATCTAGAAGAGGCCGTATATTCTAGTCTGCTTAATTTTAACTGCTTCCGCAGACACTAAATTAATGGCTTATTGTAAACTGCTTGCAGGGAGCGTTACAAATTTAAATGCATGATAAATTAAATATACTTAAACAGCGTGAATGTTTGGCTGTGTAACGAATTATGGCTTGTATAAAACATTTGTTTCAATGAAAATCAACTTAATACTAAACGTGCTGGAAAATGGCTTTCATATTACTCTCCCAACTGTACCTGGCCCTTCCATTAATAATGTTTCTGGTCGCTGACAATTTAGTAAATGATTATAAATGGTGTACGACCTCCGTGGATGCCGTCTGTGTCGACTAAATATTAATAAGAATACTAGATTGCAATTCATGTGTGTCATTGTAATAAAAATTTTATAAACATAGCAGTTTATGCTTTTAAGCCTTGACAAAACATTTGTAGAGCAGGAGACACACGAATAGTCTTAGCAAAATGCAAGCTGCGGAAGTTGAGGTATTTTCTCATACATACATTATTTTTCTTTTTACAACGGTTTTTGTCTAGCCAAAGCGCACCCAGCGCTATGTGGATGAAGCCTATCGCTTGGTGCTTGAGAAGCCAGGCGTTGAGGAGGTGCTCATAATGAATCGTTCAGGTGTGCCCGTCAAGACTTCAATGGCACGCCAGGATGCACTGCAGCATGCCTGTCTCTATGACAATTTGCGTGAAAAGACTCAGGCATTTCTGCAAAGAATGGAGCCGCCACAAAATCTATGCATGTTGCGTGTACGCACCAGAATGCATGAGGTAATCATAACACCCGATGGTAAAATAACTATTTTGGTCGTGCAAAATGCACCAGATACATATTTGCATAGCCCGCAAGACAAATGAGCAGCTGACAAGCAACTAGCTACAATACACATTGTTCGCGTTCATGATTAACCAATAAATTCAAAAGCCTCTGCCCGAATATTGCAGTAACAAAAACATATTTTTTTCCTCATATTACACACAGCTACAAAATCGCAAACGCACAACTGTTTGCTTATCAAGCAAGCCTGTTGTAATTGCAGGCAGGCGCTCACGCACACAGCTCACAGACGCTGTCGCTTTGCCAGCGCAGAACAGAGCGTTAAGCTTTTAAGACAAGGCTGCACTAATACACGTGCAGGCACACGCATACTCGCATATATATCTTTGCGAGCACTGCTTTAAAGCTACTTTTGGCGGCAGGTTGTCAACGCAACCGCATTCGCACAGCGACAGTTGTTCCATTTACATTAGAAATGTACATTCAATTAACTATGCGGCTAATTTTGGCGCTCGTACTGAGCCAAGGCGCGCATCCTGTGCGTGCTGACATTGCAGATGTGGGCCACTATTCGCAAACGCTAGTCGATTCGATTCTGGATATCTATGCGGGCAACGGCAGCAACAGGCGCAGTGCCACCGTGGATCTGGATGATAGCGAAGAAGATTTTGAGACGACGCCCATTGTGCCCACATATATCTACCCGTATCTGCTGCTGGCGCTGTGGGTAGCATGCATAAGTAGGTGCAGGATAGAGGATCCGACATTATAGCAATTTCTATATTTGATAACTACGCTCTTTGCAGGCTGCATCATTTGCTGTTGTTTATATTGCAAGTGCCAGCAGGCGGACAACATGACGGCCTACAACTCCAACTCCTTTGAGCTACAGGAAGTGCATGTTCTAGATCATCCGCTGCCGCATGTCAAGGGCTGCGTTTGCCTCGGCTGTCTGCAGCGGCAGGTTGCCAAGGAGCTGCAGCTAAAGCGCGAACAATAAAATAAATTTGACTAAGAAACAAAAAGCTAACTTTATATTCGAGTTATAGTGAAGATAATGTTATAGATTCGAGTATTTTGGGGCACACGGCTTAGCTAGAAGGCAGATGAGATTAGTCTATATTTAACAAAACTTCGAAATATTTCCCGCCGTCTCTCTATCGAATGTATTCAAGTATCTGATAATAAGCTGTCCGTTTCGGCTGTCCAAAAAGATATGAACAAAAAAGTCCTCAAATTTAAGAACAAGGCAGGAATAATGTCAGTTCGAATTTTCTAAACTAATAAATTCGGTGGATAAACATAATCTTTGGATAATTAAGGCTTGAATGGGTTCAAAGAAATACCTGAGTTTCCCATTCCTTAAACAATATTGATGGCATTTGTTGCGTCTATTTAATTTGCAGCTTCGAGAGCGTTAGCTGATCCACATCCAATGGCGACAGGCTCAATTTCATGTTGTGCTTTGAGGCCAGCAGGCGCAGCACATTCAGCTCCTTGTCCGTGTACAATTTGCGATTCATATTGATCGTTAGCAAGGTTGACTTATCAAACTCTGTCAATTGCGATTCGAAATCTCGGCGAAATTGCTGATTCGCTAGATCCTCATCAGTTTTTAGGTCGGCTAGCTTCTCCGGCTGCTGTTTGCCGGCGAGCGCACGTGACCAAATCTCACGCATGGACTTTTTGTATTTGCTGACACGCTGCTCCATGTTGATGATCTCTTCGCTGATCTCCTTGTTGTTGGGCTGCTTGGCCTGGGCCTGCACGAAAGCCTGGCGTGCGCGCTCGTATTCGCCGAGGGCGGCCAGTGCGCGTCCCTCCTGGAAGAGCGCCTTGCAGGAGGGCTGATTACGCGTCAGCAGGCGCAAAGCCTTCATGGCAATGCACGCTCTCGCCGGCTTATTCAGTTTGTTATTGCACACCATGAGATTGGTGTATAGCGTTATAAGCAGCTCCTGCTGCTTGAGCTCATCCTTTTCATCCGCCAGGCGGCAATAGTTGAGCGATGCAATGGCGCGCTCAAAGGCCGCAACTGCGTTGCGATAGGCGCCGCGCTTCACACAATCTTTGCCGTGCAAATGCATATCCTGCGCCTTCGGAAAGACCACTGCAAACTTGATACGATCCTCGGGCGCGATCCGCTCCAGCGAATGCTCATCACCGATCAATGTGAATCCAATTACCTCAATCTTAAACAGACCATCGGCACGCGGTTTAATGCGCGGCGGACAACCCATTTCGAGGAATAGCAATTTGTATGATATGATAAACTCGGACTGCTCGTACGGGTACATGGTGCGTACGGCCGCCTCGAGACCCTCCAGCACCATCTGCCGACCCGTCTCGAACTCGAATTTAGTGCCTCGCAGCATCGAGGAATCAAATGGAGCGGTTTGCCCCTCCCAGTAGCCGCTGTAACGCAATGCCACACGCGCCTTGTCCGGCACCAGGCCCTGCTCCTTGACGCCTGCTCGTGTGATGCGCTTGTAGATGTGCTCACCAATTGGTTTCATTAGCTGGCGCAGCTCATCGAAGGAACGTGTCCAGGGCGAAACGAGCGCCTCGTTCTCAATTTCCTCCTCATCAACATCCTCTGCATCATCCACATTAAAATCCTCATAGCAATCATTATTATAATTGGCTGTATCTACCTCAAAGTGAGCCCCATTTTCGATGAGGTCACTAAAAAATAAAAAGGTTTCCAAGGATTTAAGCATATAATATGCACGTGCAATTTTTTTTCTCAACATACGCAAATGATAATGGTTCCTTCAGCAATTGAGCACTTGAATTATAACGATCCTCCATTTCAATGTGAAACTTTAAAGTTAAGTAATTATTGACTTTTATTAAGACAGACGCAAACAGTGCAATTTGCACTTTGCAACAAGGAGCTACGAAAATTCCGGCTAACGTTTTGAGAAGCTTTTCGATAAAGTATTTTGGCGATCCGTTATCGAAATTTCTCAGTGTTGTAAAACTGCGTACTTAAAGCCGTGTATGCAGCTCATAGGTTGAGTCTGAGCAAAATGAAGCAGATACTGCGTTCATATATTGACAACAAAAATGATTAGAAATACTAAAATTAATTTTTATTGAAAAATTTCTTTGAAATTGAACACTTATAACTCGCAAGTAGCAGCTCATACAAATATCTTTTTGGTGCACATAATACAAAATAACAAAAACAAAATAAAGAAAGCAAGGAATGCTTTATGATGGCGGGAAAACACAGATTTCATTCGTGCTTCGATATGATTAATATACATATATATATATATAAGTTTATATGGGATTATTGAACCTATCATTATTGTAAAATAAACAATTTATGATCAAACAACTAACCCCATGACTCTATGCTCACTTCTTCATCAGCTTATTAATTTCCTTATTCTGTTTGGTCAGATTTATGTCTACGCTTTCGATCTTATAGTTCATGTTGTCCAACAATCCGTTCTGTGACTCGATTTCCGTGCCCAGATCGGTTGCCAAGAACTTAAGCCGTGACAAATTGTCACACATTTCATCGAGATTCGATTCCAACTGGTGCTGGAAGGGATTGGCGGCCCGCTGCTGCGCCTGAGCCTGGCGCTGATTGTAGGAACTGGCATCGTCGCGCATACGACTAACCGGATGATTATCATAGCGTTCTGTTGGTGACATGGGCTGCTTTGGTATGGCGCCACCTCCCGTCGCATTGGCATTGTAGTTGGCCTCCTGTGACATTTGACTGCCAGTGGGCGAGGCAGCAGCCGTGGGAACATCACGATTGCCAGACAAGTAGTTCTTCAGGCCGCCAAAAACACTTTTCAATCCATTCAAATGACGCTGACTGAAACGCAGGGTGGAGTTAATTTCATCCAATTGATTTGAGGTCTTCTCCAGTTGTTCCCGTTGCCTGGCCAACTCCACTGCCGTTGCTTTGCCCGCATCTTCGGCTTCGTAGAGCAGACCTGTTGGATAAATTCTCATTCGGATTTGTAACGCCCACCGAAATGGAATATTTTTAATGGAACATACCCAAACTCTTTTGTGTTGATTCTAGCGTGCGCTGCTCAATTTCTCTGCGTTTCTCCGCGTAGGCCTGCCTCTGAGCTGCTATTGACGAAGATGTGGACTCCTCGTCATCATCTTCAAATGGATTCGTACTGCGTTGTGCCCTGTTGTTGGCACTCGCTCGCGTGTTTCTCAAAAACAAGTCATCGTCTACGTCCGCAAATTTATCTATATCAAAATGATTATTCACTGGCTCCAGATAATTATTGGCCATTTTGGCGCGCTTTTAACCGATCTGCGCAAGTTTTAGTACAATTTCAATTTGTTAATTTTGTTGTGTTGTGTTGTGTCCAATTTGATATTAGTAAGAATTTTCTTTGTTTTTATTCGTCTTTCTAATCGGATAACAATCGTTGTTCAATAAATATCGATACCCAGTTACCAGTTACTCAGCTTGCGATGAATACAACAGTGGGCTAACAGCCTCTGGTATACAAATTCCAAATATCGATAGTTCAAAACGACGCACACATCTCTAATGTCAGTCTGCATACTTACACATCTCTACTGTGTCGGACCGGACAGCCCAGCGTCCGCAATTTCTACGTTTAAACATAGAAAAAAGTGTTTTAAACAAAGGAAATAATTGTGAAAATTTAGTTTAAATAAAACCGAAATTAAATACGTTTTAGCCAAAATATACAGTTCACATTGCAAATATGCATTGTACTCCAGCCATTTTGGCCGCGTCATGTGTCATCGTCACGCTGCTCGCTGCACACTCCGCTGCCGACCGCTCGTCGACGGCGACCAAAAAAGTATTGCAGCCAGATGGAAATCTAATCGAATTGGATGAGGATAACTGGCATTTAATGCTAAATGGCGAATGGATGATTGAATTGTGAGTGAAAAAACAAACGTAAAACATCAACGCAATAGAAAATGTCAACGCAGACGCAGTTTGTGTGGGGTGTAGCCGGTAAGAAGACACTACAACTGCAAAAACAACAACAACAACAAAAGCTGGAACTGTTTCTGGTTCTGTGGAATGTTGCATTCCGCTTAGATGTGCGTTGCGCGTTGCTGATTGGCTGCGTCACCTGCGCCTGAGTCATGACCGGCAGTTGCGTTTTTACAGCTGTTTTACCCAAAAAAAAAAAAAAAAAAAAATTAAACAAACAATTGAAATTAACCCAACATAACCAAATTTGGAAACGTGTTCAAGTAGTCAGAAGCTGGTAATAGGGCTAATGGATATATAGTATTGTTACCAACAGCAGCGCATCTGCTTCCGTTTATGGTTTACAATAAGAACTTCTGACGAAATATTGAAATATCAATGAGGGCTCACACATCGAATTCAAAGACAGACTGTCTCTGTTGATGCGAGTCCCTTTGCAGCCCTGGTATTGAGCCCTTTTGCTGTAGGCATCATTTATGTCGGAGCTGGGATCAGAACACTCATAGCCAAAGCTTAAGCTGCCATTAATGCAATCTGCACGAAATTGAACTTTTGACTGCATAAATTATATGAAAATATCATCAAACCAATATCAAGTCAACCATAATTCATATACCGTATTTACAGTTTTGCTCCTTGGTGCCCAGCCTGCAAAAATCTGGCGCCTGTCTGGGAACGCTATGCCAGCACAGCTAAAGATGTTAAAGTGCATGTGGCCAAGATCGATGTAACCACATCGCCATCGCTGAGCGGACGCTTCTTTGTTACCGCTTTGCCCACGATCTATCAGTAAGACTCTTTAAGAGGATATTACAAAAGACATGCTCTCTACAATGCTCTCGTTATTGCAGCGTGAAGGATGGCGAATTCCGGCAATATCGTGGCGCACGTGATGCCGATGCCCTGTTGTACTTCCTTAAGAAGAAGTCCTGGCAGAGCATTGAGCCGCTGTCCTCGTGGAAAAAGCCGGACACCATACACATGTCCCTGCTATCATACTTCTTTAAGCTGTCGCACACATTGAAGGTACGTCAACCTGCTGCCCATGCAATCACTTGTTTACGTCTGCATCGGTCGGTTATGTCGTAGCTCAGTTCAATGCACGTATGCGGAAGCTTATCAGGCACGATTGGCCCAAGAGGTTATAATGTCTATGCCTCATACTGGCACACTGGTGTAATTCTCATTTGTCTGGGCTTAAGCCGGCTAAACTTGTTGGGCACATTCGGCGCATTTTAAGCTTCTGCACAAAATCACGCTTTTGTATAATATGTCTATGTACGTGTATGTGTATGTTGTATATACTAATAGCACACACAAAAACTCTTTAAGGACTTCAACGCGCGCCTGCAGGAGGAATATGGTCTGCCCACCTGGGGCTCTTATGCTCTGTTTGCCATTGCCACAATTTTTGTGGGTGCCGCCCTTGGCTTGATGCTCGTGTGCATCGTGGACTTTGTTTATCCCCCAAAGAAATCGCAGCGTCAAAGCTTCTCCGAATCGCAGGAGCATCTAGCCGAGGGCGTTGAGGATTTGGCTACCGAAGATATTGAAGACGATGAAGACGAAGGTGGCGACGACGAGGAGCGCAACAGCGAGGAAGCCGACGATGATGAAGAGGATGAAGCAGCTGATGTGGAGGCAGAGCAAATCAAGCAAGGAAATGGCGATAAATTGGAGGACAAGTCAACAGAAAATAAAGCTGACAAATTAGAAACTACAAGCTCAGCTGGCGATGAGGCGCCCGAACTATCAGAGAAACCCAGCACAGAGCAGATGCGCAAGCGCAAGCCACGCAAAGCGGATTAAGCTGTGGAGCGGTTCAGCGACGAGAAGGGTGGCAACAAAAAAGACTAACCTAACATTACACAATAAACAAACACGAGCAAACAAACGAAAAGAAACTGTAACAAGAGAGGAGAGGATACTGCAAATTGTTGCTATTGTATTACGAGTCTGTTTTTAATTGTTTAATTTCGCGCACAATATAAGCAAATTTGTCGCATTTGAAAATTGTTTTCCAATTAAAGCTGTAGCAGTTTTTTTTATGCCTACACACATATATATATATCGATTTGATTCTTAGCGGCAATTGCGAGATGGCAATCGCGTCCTAGCACCTCATGTATTTCATAATTATACAAACGTAACAATAACTAAATATTTAGTCGTATTCTTTAGCGTTTGCTCAGCATACATTTCATTGCTAACATATTTTTCGTGTTCACATTTGTTTACGAAACATTTCTCTATATGCTTAATTTAATTTCTTCAATAAAATTGCAAACTGTATTCAATTTGCGTATTACAAATGAAATTAATGTGTCTTTCATCAATAAACAAATGCAAATATTGCATTGAAAATCTCTTGAGCAATCAAGATGCATTAAACAATAATTATGAAATTAAAGCGACCAAATAACATTTGAGCTGAAATTAAAAAAATAAACAAACAAAAACTATAACGAAAGCAACGAGCGGAGGAATTCAATTCATTAAAAAGTAAAAGTAAATGTGTAATTCTATGTAAAACCAACCCATGAAAATACTTTAAATAAAATTATATATGAATGTAATTTGCGTGTCATTTATACGACATACAGAAGGACGTATCTAAAGTGGAACATGCGGAGTATGAGGTGCAATATGATTGGGATTGGTAAAAAGAAAACGCATAAATCAATTCCAATTAAAATAAAACTTGTTAACAAATTTGGACTAAATAAAAAAAAAATTTACAAATAATTAGGGGGCGCTTTTGGTCCATTCACTTTTTTGCATTTTTTTGATGGCAGCCAGCCCTTCAAACGATGCTCATCCGCTAATGTGCTATCGAGATTCAGACAGGAGATGCGCGCCATGCTCTCTTTATACTCGAGCAACTGATTGTCATCCAGATCGGAGACGGCGCCGCCGTCGTCGTCGCGCTTGCACATATGAAAGGCCTTCTGGCATTTGCGCGCAAAATCCTTTTCCGGAGATTTGTCGGTGCGCAGATAACGACGACAGCTATCCGCAACAGACAATGAACGTTTCCTCACATTCACCTGCCGGTGTGGCACATACGGTGCCAATGGGGTACCCTGCAATTGAGCAGTTACGGCGCGCGAAATGAGGCCATAACTATACATTGTGGCCAATCTTCAATTTTGATATAACAACAATTCCTATTTTTTTTTTTTTTTTTTTTTTTTTTGTAATACAATTCGAGACTGTTCTGTCTAAGCTGCTGATGAATATTGAAATGAAAAGACAAATATTTCGTTTCTTCTAATTTTGATGTTGGCTTTGTTTACACAGTTTTTTTTTTTTTCAAACTTAAATGTGAAAAGCGAAACTAACCAAATCAGAGTCTTTTATTTTTGTATACATTTATTTAGATGTATTTAGTTTGTTTTATTTAATTAGCTTTAAGTAAGTAAAAATCCCTGCAATTTCGTTTTATTTAAAACTACAAAGACACTATATAAGTGTGTGTGTGTGTGTGTGTGTGGGTGTGTGTGTGTGAGTTTGCCAAATTTGTTTGCGTTTTAAAGTTCATATTATCTGTTGCCAAATTGATAACTATTGTTTACACATTGTAATTGATATATATATAAAAAAGTATAAAAGTTGTATACACTTATTTTTATTTAACTTGCGTCTGCACTTAAACATTAATTTGTTTAATTTGCCTGCTTTGTTGTTGCTATTTTTCACTTGGCACTTGTGATTCATGAATTAACTGTTGGTTTGTTGAGTATTTAAAAAAAAAAAATTACAACATTTTGATTGTTAAACAAATAACATTTTCAACAAATGGCTATGGCTATTGTAGAGTTCGATTTAACGGTAGGGATTTAATAGGGTTTGTAGGTACTTGGTGTGTGTGTGTGTATAAATAAATTTTCTATATATAAAATATATATTTGATATATATTTTTTTGGTTGTAAAAATTGTACTATTGCAGCGTATGGAGGAAGTTTGTGGGGGGAGCAAGGATATTTGGGGTTAAGGGATATTTTGTTTGTGTGTGTGCATGTTTTCAAATACTTTAAGTAATTGTGTATGTGTGTGTGTGTATGGTGAATTTTGGATTTGCAGTTAATTCGTATGTTTGTGTTTGTGGTTTTTGCAAACGCCAAATGCTTACACAACATATACTATTATGCATTATGCGTGTGTATGTGATTTTCTGACAACAAAAACAATTGTAATTACTTTAAATATTTAAAAAGCATTAATCGTGTGCATTAAAGATTGGCAAATGCAATTGAAAGCAAAGAAATAAAAACATCTAATTCAAATGTTACCAAAAACTCCAAATGTCAGCAAGCAACAAGTGTTGCCACTTCGCTGGCAATTGTCAGCGAAAATTTAGTACATTTTTTTTTGCATTGAGCTTTCAATTACATTCGTGGGAGGGTGGTGTTGGCGTTGCCATTGTTGTAAAATTAACTTTTGTTTGTGTTTCGAGGCGGGCAAAAGCTAATTTTAAAACAACGCAAATCTCTTAAATTACTAAATAACTAGCTTGTTATATATGAGGTATTTGTATGTGTGTCTGTGTGTGTGTGTGTGTGTGTTGAGTTCTGTGGTAATTGTGGAAATTTTGTCTGGCAAATTTGTGAAATTTTGTAAACCGGTCTATTGCATAAAATTGCAGGTCCGTCGCTTTGTCGTCGCATTATGCGACGCACAAAGAACGTGAAAAAATGTAGCAGTAGCATTTATAAGAAAAACTAGTTGCCGCCGGCTATGCGACAAAATCGAGCGGCCGATTGAAGCCACCCTTGCGATTCATATACTGGCGATACTTGCGCTTGAGGATCACATGCACTTCACCAACATCGTTGCCCTCGACTTTCTTGTTCTTGGTGGTGTCAAAAGTGCAGAAGCCCATTGTCTTGAGCATCTCAACCTCTTCCGGCGATTTACCCTCCAGATCAGCTTCATTGATCTTTGGACGCTCTGCAGCTGCAGCTGCACTCGCCGAATTGTTGCGTGTGGCGCGTCTCGATGTGGATGGACCCGAACTGCTGCCGGTACCACGCGAGCGGGATCTGTAAAAGAATATGCGAGACAGCGGCGGCTACTTAATGAACTGGAATTTGAATGCAATTTAAATAAATAAAGCAAATAAATGCACTTGGGCAAACTGGGGCAGGGTCATTTGTACATAAATATATATATGTATATATGAATTAAACAGCAGTAATTTGAGAATTTAATTATGAAACGCGACACCTTTCACTGGGCGGATGGGCAACAATGTTATATAAAAACCCGTTCGAACCAAATTGTTTGTGGTTGTTTCGTATGTATTTTGGCGGACTGTTTACAAAAGATAACAATGTGTGTGTGTTTGTGTGTGCTTGCTTAACAATTAGTAGAAGCTGTTCGCTTAGGACATCTCCTCGATGAGCGCTGCACGCAGCTTTGTTGTCACCGTGGCCGGCTGTGCTTGATTCAATTTGAAAACGCTCTCGATAACGGAAATCTCGGTGGCCGTTGTATTCATGCCCACAAACGAGATCCAATCGTTGACGACCATGCCGGCAGCCAGCACTTCGCTGCCACGATTGACGGTGCCGGCAACGAGCGGCACTTGCAGCAGCGACGACAGCTCGTCCTGGTCCTGTATGCTGGTCTTGGGATGCACCATGCCGCCCTGATTGCTCAGCACTGTGTAGGAGCCGACCAGCGTATTGTCGGCAATCGTTTGACGAAAGACTTCTACATTGAGTACGTCTGTGATAATTTCTTCGGTTTCCCTGTCCAAATCGGGATGCACCAGTGCCACATAATCGTTGCAGGCAATCACATTGCCCAGCGCAGACAAACGCTCCTCGACACGCTGGATTTTAACCGCATCCGGCAGGCTGTTGCGCAAATGCTGCAGCTCCTCGTCTGTGGTCGAATGCGGCACCAGCAATCCGTTCCGATTGCCGACCGTAAGGCGGCCAATGATGCGGCAGCCGCCAATGTTGGCATGCACCACCGGTATGGTTTCGGCCAACTCGGCCTCGTAGGCACTGTAGAAGGTCTCGGAGCCGCCGATTGCCACCAGGCAATATGTGTTTGTTAATTTACTGAAGACGCCAATGTCGTCATTGTTCTCAAATTGCACGCGTAGCGCCATTTTGTGCCGAATTTAGTTAATGCTTAAGTTTTAATCTGCTATAAGGAAACTAGATTTGCTTCGAGCTCTGTTTGCTTTCTAATGCCAGGCCTAGCTGCTCGCTGTTTTTAACTATTTGGTAGTGTACTTTAATTTTTGTTGTGAAATTCACGTATTTCGCTTCACGTGGTAATTTGCAGGCGGCTGTCGAAAGAACGAATGAGCTTCAGGGAACTGTCAAAAGCACACATAAACAGGGTTGCATTGTAGCAGGGAAATTGCCACGGTGCTGGCCGTTCAGCTGAACTAGTTCAGCAGTTTAAATGGGCACGCTTTGTGCTTTACTTATTACTAGATATATACATACATAATGAATGGGTATAAAAAAAACGTTAGTACTTTATACTTATCGTTGTGGTTTGGTACACTACACTTGCTTATTCACCTCGAACGCCTGCCCCGCGCACGTTCCCTGTCACGGCTGCGGCTTCTGTCACGCTCACGATCACGTTCCCGGTCACGGCGACTGCTGCTGCTGCTCCCAATGACATTGGCTTCTCTTTCTCTTGAGCGTCGTTCGCGTCTTTTTTTGCGCTCTGTGCGCTCCTTTTCCCTTCGTCTGTGTGCGGGCGAAGCGGGACTGCGGCTGCGACCCATTTTATCCTTTTACGTGTGTGTACGTTTATTAAACGTATAGAAATATACAAAATGCCTGAACAGAAGTACACATTTTATTAACTCCACACAATGCCGAAATTTACTGTCGCGAACACTCACCGTTCCCTAATGCAGTGTCTTGCTTATATGGGGCGACACCGGCATTAAGTAAAACGCGCTAAACCTAAAAACTAAACGTAAAAACGAAGCGCGTTCCTGCACACCCGCGACGCTAAAACAGACTGCAAATGGCCGCTACCCACAACAGCTGATTGTGGTCGGCATGCAGTTTTTTCCTTTTGTAAAAGTGTTATGAGTGTGACCGTTCTTTTGGTATATATTCGATATTTTTTCCTTGTATATCGAAAGTTAAGCTCAGACAAATACCAAATACAGCAAAATAGTTGAACAATACAAAATGGTTAAGATTTATTTTTTAAATTTAATAAATAAATTAAACTAGAATAGAAATATTTTGAAATTATTATATATCATATAGATCTTTCATATACATATATTCAAAAAAACGGTAAATTCAGAAATACATGTTAGCAAGCGTATAAACTCGTTTTGGCCGAAGCCGATGAAATATTTTTTAATACTTCAGCTTAACAAAATAAATAAATTGTTATTCTGTTACGGAACTGCTTGTTTCTCAGTGGGCCGCGCCGGCTGGCTCATCGGATTCTCTGGGTGTGGTCCCATCCCTGGCCCGCAGTCCGCACAATCGATAACAACAAAGCTACACGTCTGTAGCAAAACAGACTCACACAACACTACTCAAAATGAACCGCATAATCGATAACAAATATTCGGAACTACTAACTCATGAACAAAATACACAGCTGTAACAACTATGAAAATGTAAACAACAAAGGTAAGACACTCAATATAAATTAACAAAAAAACACTATTTATCCACCTTACTCTTCCAGATCGGGCCCCGGTTCCGGACCCAGCGTACCCGCCCTACCATGAGACGATCACCTCCACTCGTCTCCCTCATTTTGGCCACCAAATGGCCTATATTAGCCCGTGTCGGCCATAATGCCCACCCTCCCCAGCAATATTATTTTAGCCGGACATGATTTCTTTCAATAGGTGCGTATAATTGGTTGCGTTTTCTTAAAATGTATAACAATCATAATCATTGCTTATGGCATTTATCTTGCAGCTGTTTAGGATCTCATGCAAGCGGATAATTCATTAACTTCACAGGTGCGTATTACTGCTGCATATATTTATACTAATTGACACAGCGCATTAATTCCTAAATTTTTCTCTTATCTTATAGAATTAATTTTTTTTTTATTTTTTTACAACACTGAATGGAACAGGCGACGAAACACTACAAGGATATTGCTAGTCGCCGCAAAAGAAACGCGCAATGAGGCACTTTAGAGGCAATCGTTGCCCCGATTTAGGAACAATGGCCCGCACAATTACTTAAAACTGGGTATGTCACGTATTGTGTATTGTATGTATTAAATCGCTTAATTCTACCTTACCCTACCTAAAGAGCTCTCTGGGGGTGGTAAGGGGCGATATAAATGCGTAAATTCAAATTAGGTAAGTATGTGAGCATAGTTCGCGCAAGAGTTAATTTTAGATTTTTTTTTTTATATTTTACAGGCGCAGATGCATCACCGTTGGAGTTTTCCTCACCGCTCGCACTCTAAAGTGAAGCTCGGCGTAAGTGCCTATGTATGTATGAATATATTTTATAAATACAAATTAACCAAATTTAACGATAAAAAAAATCTACTCCTTTTCAGGGAGTGCAATTAGGAGTCTTCTTCTGACTCGGCCAGGGGCTCGAACGAGGATGGGCAAAACAATGGAACGGACTCACTCGGTGGATGTGGGCGGGGTCTCGCCTGTGGCCGCTTCTTCGTTGTTGGAGCCCGGTCGTTGGTGGCTCGTCTCGTCGCCTTCACGTTTGCGCCGACGCTTGCTGGCGGCGTCGCGGATATGGCTGGTTTGCGCCGCTGCACTGAATCCTGGCCTTGAATATTTCGCGGGCCTCTCTGGTGCGCGAGCCGGTCTCCTTGGTGCCGGAGCCGTTAATTTTTGGCTTATTTGGTTCGTCTCTCGTCGCACTTAAATTTTTAAGTCTCTTTCAATTTTTTTATTATATTTTCTTTGTGATTCGAGCGGTTTGATTTATATAAATTTATTACATGGCAAAGAACACAAAAACAAAACTTTTATTCGTCTGTTAAGCCATTGGTATTATGTGCCGGCTTAATTTTTCAGAAGGGAAAAAATTTTACTCTGTCAAGCAGAAATGCAATGTCCAACTTTTTTGCTCACTTCGAGCTGGCACGCCCGCCGTTAACCGCTGAACAAATCGAACTCCTCCACATTTTTTGCAGCCACACCATCGGTGCCGAATTTCGGCACACGCATACATTTGCGAGGCGGGCACCGTTGCTGCTCATCTGCACAGCTGCATTTTTTTGGGTCAACGGCCCAAATGAAGGCCAAGGGCATATCCAAGGGCATGCGATCCACTCTCCTCGTATTCCCTTTAAGAGCGAAACGGGCGGCCAATAGCAATCGTCGCTTTTGGCGCCGTGGATCGCATGTCTGGCGTTGCCACCCTTCAAAATTTTGGGCTCCGCCGTGGGCCCAGCTTCACCCCGCATACTCCGACCATATGCCAAAAAGATATCGGCGTGGCCGATAATATCGCACGCAACCAACTGAGTAACCCTCGGTGCTGCCGATAACGTCAAATGCAACAATTCAATTAAGAGTTCGTTAAAAATGCTCTCTCTCTCTCTCTCTCCCGGCGCTATAGTTTTCTACTAATAGAATAAATTGTAGATTAATTTGAAAAATGATACAGAACAAGGGTTCAATTGAACAAGGTCATTGTGAGCATACAAGTATGTATGTGTACATATATACATACATACACAAATGCATGACATGGCAACGATCATGTTGATACACATTTGTAATATTCCTTTCAACCTTTACATAATAAAGATGCTTTAAAATCACCGGCGCCAGCTCTAAAATATCAACGCAATCGATTCCAATTAGTTCATGTGCATACATACATACATATCGCCTGAATGCATGTCTATGCGCGTTATCTCATTATCACCTAATACTGTTATCAGCAGGCTATGCAACTAATTGCTATGTTGTTTATATGCGCGAACAAGCACAACAAAAGACACCAATGAAAAAGCAGCAGCAACAGCTGTTGCTTCTTATTAACGCCGCCTGCAAAAAAAGCTCAGTCAGAGCTTTTGTATTGAGGCCCACAGTCGCTGTACATCGCAGTTGTCAATTTGCAAGCAGCGCCGGTGGGTGCGCGAGTTGTTTTCTATTTAGCTGTTATTAGGTGTATAAATTTCTAAACGGCTTGCAACATGACCGATGCGATGCAGGTGGAGGTTAAGGACATTGATAAGCTGATAGAAATGGACGGCTATCTGAAGCCCTTCGAGCGTGAGATTCGCCGCCGGTAAGTCAAAAAACATTCGCTGAGTGCATTTGGTTTATGGTGCGGCGCGCATCATGTAATCCGAAGTTAACGCCGGCTGATAAGTATGGAACAGGGCAGGCAAGCGGCGAGCGTCTAGTGCTTAGTGTTGTTATGCCCTGCATAATCATATCAACTGTTTTTGTACTGCCGCCCCTAAGGTGCAGTTGGAAAAACTGCGTTGACCAATGTCACATGAAGGTCATTCAAATTACTTCGCTTCAGCGGCGTACGTTCGCCGCCAGATGCAGTGAAAACATTTGGAACAGCCGTCGCGCTATCTGTTGGCCCTGGCCTTGACTTCCGCAATTTTATACTTTTTGTTTATATACGCGCAGACATGGCGTCCTGAAGGAGTGGATTGCCAAGATCGACCAATGCGAGGGCGGCATGGAAGAATTCTCGCAGGGCTACAAATACTATGGCCTACACTTTCAGCCGGATAATTCAGTGATAGCACGCGAATGGGCGCCGGGCGCAAGAGATGTGTATCTGACTGGCGATTTCAGTGAGTATACAAATTGGAATATATGGCGAAACGTGCGAAAGATCAGATGCAGCTTCAGCTAAGGATGTGCAAGCGAGCTGGCAACATGTTTCGCCCTGTTTACAAATTCGCCCTACAAAAAAGCTGTTAAGATATCGATACTCGATAAAATATACTTGAAATTTACAAGGTTTTACTATCGATAGCAACCATCGATATTTTAACAGTTAAATAGTTAAATTTTTTGCTTATGCCTTTAATTAAAATACACAGACAACTGGCACTGGGAATCGCATCCGTTCAAGAAACTGCCCTTTGGCAAGTGGGAGCTGCACTTGCCCGCCAATCCAGATGGTAGTGCGCCCATTAAGCATCTCAGTGAGATAAAGATCATCATACGCAATCAGTCCGGTCAACTGTTGGATCGTCTCTCGCCCTGGGCCAAGTATGTGGTGCAGCCACCCAAGAGCGCCAATCAAGGTGTCAACTTTAAGCAGTATGTGTGGCAGCCGCCAGCCGGGGAGCGATATCAACGGCAGAGCGCGCGTCCCGCCAAGCCCAAGTCATTGAGAATCTACGAGTGCCATGTGGGCATTGCCTCGCAGGAGCCGCGCGTGGGCAGCTACGATGAGTTCGCCGATCGCATTGTGCCTCGCATTAAGCGTCAGGGCTACAACTGCATTCAGGTGATGGCCATCATGGAGCATGCCTATTACGCCAGCTTTGGCTATCAGGTGACAAGTTTCTATGCGGCGTCCAGCCGCTGTGGAAATCCGGAACAGCTGAAGCGCATGATCGATGTGGCTCATTCCCAGGGTCTCTATGTGCTGCTCGATGTAGTGCATTCGCATGCATCCAAGAATGTGCAGGATGGCCTAAACCAGTTCGATGGCACAAATAGCTGTTTCTTCCACGATGGCGCCCGTGGGGAGCATTCGCTCTGGGATAGCCGTCTCTTCAACTACACGGAGTACGAGGTGCTCCGGTTTTTACTGTCCAATCTGCGTTGGTGGCACGACGAGTATAATTTCGATGGCTATCGCTTTGATGGCGTCACCTCCATGTTATATCATTCACGCGGCATTGGTGAGGGATTCAGCGGTGACTACAACGAGTACTTTGGCCTTAATGTGGACACGGATGCGCTCAACTATCTGGGCCTGGCCAATTATATGCTGCACAAGCTGGATCCGGAGGTTATAACTATAGCAGAGGTAAATCTAGAATTTCAATTCACATAGTTCCTAGTTTCAACCTCAGTTTTCTCTATTGCAGGACGTCTCTGGCATGCCCACGTTGTGTCGTCCCGTTTCGGAGGGCGGCATTGGCTTCGATTATCGCCTGGGCATGGCCATACCGGACAAATGGATCGAGCTGTTGAAGGAGCAAAGGGATGATGAATGGGACGTTGGCAATATTGTACACACACTGACCAATCGACGCTGGATGGAGAACACGGTGGCGTATGCAGAGTCGCACGATCAAGCGCTCGTCGGCGATAAGACCATTGCCTTCTGGCTGATGGACAAGGAGATGTACACGCATATGTCCACAATATCCGAACCTTCGCTAATTATTGATCGTGGCCTGGCGCTGCACAAGATGATAAGACTCATTACGCACGCCCTGGGCGGCGAGGCGTATCTTAATTTTATGGGCAATGAGTTTGGTCATCCTGAGTGGCTGGACTTTCCACGCGTGGGCAACAACGACTCGTATCATTATGCGCGTCGCCAGTGGAATCTGGTGGATGACAATCTGTTAAAGTATAAATACCTAAACGAATTCGATCGTGCCATGAATGAGCTGGAGGAACGCTACGGTTGGCTGCACTCGGGTCCTGCGTATGTGAGCTGGAAACACCAGAGCGACAAGACCATTCATTTTGAACGCGCCGGCCTCGTGTTTGTGTTCAACTTCCACCCAACGCAAAGTTTTAGTGACTATCGTGTTGGCACCAACTGGGCGGGCACCTATCAGGCGGTGCTCTCCTCGGACGATCCCATCTTTGGCGGCCACAATCGCATCGACATGAACTGCAAGCATCAATCCGATCCCTGGGGTCATGCCGGTCGCTCCAATTTCATTCAAGTCTATACGCCTTGCCGCACGGCCGTTGTTTATGCGCGCATCAGCGATTAGGCGCACTTGTTTAACCAAATTGTTGATATATAATTATATATATTATACATGCTATGTGAATTTCAAAATTTAGCTATACTTTTTGTTAATGTTACAAGAACCATCATTGAAATATATGTATACACACAGAGATAGGTTTACAGAATTGTTTTGGTACTTTTGAAAACATATTTGGACGGAACGTTTTTAATTGAGGAAAAAAAAGTCGATAACCTGATTGAGTTGCCTTGTCTTGCTATCGTCCCAATTTATCGATAAGACTTCTCTTTAATGCTATCGGATCGTTTTTCTAAAACAATAATGACGAAGTAATATTGGGCGGAAAATTATTTGGTTTAAAATCTTGCGCTAAGCCCTTAGACCTTATAAGATTGTTAGGGAAATAAATTTATTGCTTTTCGAAAAAAAAGTATATTTTGCACTTACCACAATTTACAAAAATTCCAATATGACAATTTAAAAACTAGAAATTTAAATTTTTAAATTTTTATTTTAATTCTTTATTTGCTTTGAATTTTTAAAATTGTATTTTTCTTGTTTATAATAAATATATATTTATATATGTATAGTTATTATTATTCATAGACTTTTTATACATAATGTATTCTACTCATGTTCGCTTAATTATTTACTTGCAGTTTCGTTAATTCGTTACGACTTAATCTAAAAATAATTATCTTACAAAAAGTGTAGCTCACTTTTTCAATATTTCTCTTCTTCTTATTTGTTTGTTGGTTGTGATCTTAAAATAAATATGCTTTGAATCTGTATCATTGTCTTCCATTAGTAGTAGTTCTTTAGGCTTAAACAATAACTTTAGTTTTTTGTTTTCGTTTGTTTGTTTTTTTTTTTGTCGTTTTTGTTTTTTTCTTTTTGCATTGTGATTATGAAAAAATACTTTGATCTTAACTAGGGTACCGCGCTTAGTATTAACAACTTAGGTCAGTGCTATGCTTCAATTCTTAGGCGTAAGTTTAATCATAATCAATGTATTATTTTTAACGCATGCAGGATGGCTTAACAAAATTGCAAATAATATATATACTTGTATTTTTTTTTTGTTTTTAAATAATATACAACATTTAAGAGAAATGTGAGTGGATGGGTAGCGTTTGTTAAGGGTAAAGATATGAACAACAATAAAAAAAAATAGAAAATAAATTATTACGGACAATACTCTTTAAGTGAAATACGTTGCATAGCTGCCAATAGGTATTTCTGGCTTCATCTATTTTATGCAAAGGAACAAATTATATAAGTTTATGTGTTCATATAAATATATATTTATACATAAATAGTATTTAAGTAATTGCTTTAAATTATTACATAGTCTGGTAAGCAGTTAGTTTTTTTTTTTTCAAATAATACGGTAAAAGTATTTTTTTTTAGTTTTAAGAATAGTAAATTAAGTTAAAAATAAATTTTGTCTGGCGCTGAGACAGCGCCTGCTCAAAATATTATTTAGAAAACTGGGCTCGGGTGTCTCGTTGGTGTTTTTTTTTTGTTTTTGCACTTATATATACGCTACTTATGTGTTAAAAAATAATTTAAGTGTTGATTTGAAATTTACAGAATTTGTTACACAACACTGCCGTGCATGAGTGATGTGCGTGCATGTGTGTGTGTGTGTGTGTGTGTGTCAGTTATGAACAACATTTTGTTTGAATTTTTACTTCTTTGCATTTAACATTTTGCGCACAACATGAACATAAACATGAGTTTAATATATACTATATACAAAGTATATATATATATAGGATTCTTTATGTACGTATATATATATGCATGTTATGTGATTTTGTTTTATGTAGAAAAATAGATTTGGTATGCATTTTAACATTATGTAATATCAGTTGAGTTTCTTATACTTTTTCTTGCATAGCTTTACAATTGAGTTTGTGGCTGCTTTTAAGTTTTACTTGGCTTCGTTTTTATTGTTTGAATATAGATTTAATTTAATTGTGTTTTGATTTGCTTTTGTTCTTGCTGCCTGTTTTGGTGGCCAAATGTGTCGATTTTTGTATGTTTCATGCCCCAAACAAATTGTCGAAAGGGCTTACAAATTTATATAAAAAAAAAAATTAAAGTCTATTTTGTTTTGCATTTAGTCTCTGTTGCAACTGGCGCAAAGCAGCACAACGAAGCTGTGCCCCGCCATGTGGCTGCTTTGCGGCATGCGCAACATTCGCTGATTGAGTTTAAAAGAAATATGTTGTTGGCATTATTGTGGCATTATTCAAAAATCGACCCATTTGGCCACCCATTAGACCCTACGCGGCAAAAAGCTGCGCTGCGGCAGCAACAGCTGCGGCCTGTTGTTGCTGCTGATGTTGCTGCTGCTGCTGCTGTTGCTGCTGCTGCTGTTGCTGCTGCTGCAGTGGTGCCATTATGGGTATGGCGGTGCCATCGGCTGTCAGCAGCAGCGTTTGCGTTTGGGCTGGCTGCGGTGCAGCAGCTGCTGCTGCCGACGTCTCAGCCAGCGCCATATTGGCCGTGGGCCAGTCCGCGGGCAGCACAATCAGCTGCTGCTGCCCAGCCTTGCTGGGATGCGCTATAATGCTGCCATCGGATGATTGCACCAATATGGTATTCGGTGGCAGATTGAAGCAGGTCACGGTGCCATTGGGGCCCACGGTTTGCAGCTGCAACGCTGCCGCCGGCTGTTGTTGCTGTTGCGCCTGCTGCAGCAGCATTGTGGATGTTGCCGCAGCTGCTGTGTGGTCGCTGTTGCTGCTGCTGCTGAGATCGAGGCCATCGTTGTCATGCGCTGTCTGCTGCTGCTGCTGATGCTGCTCTTGCAGCAGCAGTTGTTGCTCCTCGCAGTTGGCCTCCTCATCGATGACCTCCTCGACCAGATCATCTTCGTTGAGCTCTTCGATGATGTCGTCTGTATTGTCCACATAGCTGGCCGCATCTAGCGCAACGCCAGCTGTTGCAATTGGCGGCGAGGGCGTGGGCGTGGGCATGGTTAAATAACCATCCACAGATTTGGCCGTAAGCGCAGTGCCTTTGGGTATGCGAAATTTGCGCAAGATTTGCGCTGTGGATGAGCACAGGCCATCCTCATAGACATCCTCATCGATGAGCTCCTCCTCCTCCTCAACCAGCTGTTGCTGCTGCTGCTGCTGCTGTTGCTGTTGCGGCAGGCTAGATGCGTCTGGCGCGATGATGACCTGGCGGCTGCGATTGGCGTTCGTATTGACGCGCAGCAATGTGACCGATGGCTTGCCGCCTGTTTGGCTGCCATTGATGATGGCTAGCGGCGGATGTTGTTGTTGCTGATGCTGCTGCTGCTGCTGCGATTTGTGACCAGCGCCAACTGCTCCACGTGCGGCCAGCAGAATGACGGGCGTCTTCTTGCCGATGGTTGCCTTGATGCCATTGCTGCTGCTCACGTTGTTGTTGTTGCTGTTGTTGCCAGCGCTGCTGCTGCTGTTGCTGCCGTTGTTGTTGTTGTTGTTGCCATTGCTGTTGTTGTTAGAATTTGGGATGAGAGATGAGACAGCGTTGTAATTATTAGTGTGTCTTGTGTGCACTTGAGAGACGCAGTTGCTTTTCAAATTTCTACGATTATGTGTAACAAAGTCAGCGAATTTGTCGACGAAACTGACCGCGGCGCTACGATTGCTGTTGCTGTTGCTTCGGCAACTGTTGCTGTTGCTGCTGCTGCTACTGATGTTGCTGTTACCGCCGTTGCTGTTGCGATTGCGACTGTTGCCGTCGGCGGCGAGGAGAGCGCGTGAATTGGCTTGTTTCACGACAATCTCCTCGTAATAGATGCGATTCGCTTCGCCCTGGCGACGCTGCCAATCGTTGTGGTTGTTGTTGTTGTTGTTGTTGTTGTTGTAGCTGTTGTGCATGTTGTTCTGAGTGTTGTTGTTGTTGTTGTTGTAGTTGTTGTAGCGTGGTGTGTATGGCCGCTTGAACTGGTTGTTCTTGCTGTTGTATGCTTGTTGTTTAGAAGAACCTGTGTTTGTTTTTGTTGTTGTTGTGGTGATGCATGTTGTTGTTGTTGTTATTTGTTTGTTGTTGTTGTTGTATATGAATTTTGTATGCAAATCATAAATATGACAAAAGAACAACACAAAACATGAACACAACGGGCGAACAAAAATTGTTGAGAAAAATGAAAAAGAACAAATATTTGGATTTAAAACAATTTTATTAGCATTTTGCTTCTGGTTTTTTTTTTTTAAATCTAATTTAAGGATTTTTTCTTTCTCTTTTTTACTTGATTAGTATTAGAGTTTTAGTTGTTGGGGTTAGTAAATCATAAAATATGCATGTATGAATGGGCATGTTGGATGTGTTGTTATGTACAATTAATGGATGGATTTTGTTGTGAGTAACCAATTGTTAGGCCAATTGATGCGTTAAAAAATCAAAGGTATGCAACTCAAAAGGTAACAATAATGAAAAGAAAATCTTTACTACGTGCAGTAATAAAAATGAAAATCGTCCTTGCCAAAAAAAAAAAAAACTGCCCCAGATCTGGAGGTAATACTGTAGTTGACAGTTTGAACTGACAAAAATCGAAATGACATTTGGAGCAACAATTCAATTGCTATCCACAATTCACAGCCATATTTCTAGTATTTTAACGAAGCGCACAGAAGCACATTACGATTAAAAAATACCAGATTCTTAACAATCTATTGAAAAACAAACCCAGAAAAAACACCATCTTTATGAAAATGATAAAGTTGCCAAAAGTGGAATGAAATAGAAATAAATTTAAATAATTGTAATCATTTAGGTCCTTTGCAAAAGTAATAAATATAAAGAAAACGACAAAAAAAAAACATTTTATATAAATCTGTTAAGATTGAAGTAAATCAATCTTCAATTCCTCGAAAAGCCTTTTGAAGTTCCCAATATTCTGCGCTTTTGTTTAAACATAAAACCAAATGTCTTTTAGTTTTCTTCTCACTTGCTTAAATTTTGTTTTCGACCTTTTTGCTCAATGAGAACAGCCTCAAATTTAGCAACAATGTGTGTTAGTAATGGATAATGAGTTGAATGAGCTTAAATAAAGCTGGTTAACATAAAAAACTTCAAACGAGTAAATAAAACAAACAAAAATAAATAAAAAGCGAATAAAAAAAGTACACATACCTTGCACTTTAAAAGTCCAATTTTATATTTATATATATATATAATTATATATATTTTAAAAATTTAATATTTTTTTGTGTATGAATTGGTGTCCGTTTTGAAACAAATGCAAATGAAATGTTTATGAGGTGCGCAAAAATTAATAAAATGTGCGAAGTTGTTTGTTGTTGTTTGTTTGTGTGCACACACACACACACTCACACAAGCGCACACACACACACACGTACAGCTGTGTTGTGGCAGTTGAATGCATGCGAGTTTATCCTCATTTGTTAGTGTTGTAAAATGTGTGTTAATGTAAATAAGTATTATGAGTATTTAAGCGTTATGATCAAACATATTTGATATATGCATTTAGTGTTGTTTTTTCATTTGTATGCCGCTCTTTCGCATTGTAAATGGTTTCCATTTGCGTTGCTTTTTTTTTTGTTCATTTAATTATATTGTTTTATCGTTTGTTCATTTGATTTAGTTATAACAATATATAGTTTTTGGTACTTTGGCTGCAGTTGTCGCTTTTATATTTTGTATATTTTGCTATCGTAGCTTTTTTAGAGCGCTAGAAGCACGGCTTCTGATATATCGTAGCTATAGTTATATTATTTTTGTTTAATATATGAGTTCGTTTTGATTGATTGATTGGTTGGTTGGTGGGTTGGTTTTGTGTACATAAAATAAAATAAGAGAAAAAGAAAGAAAAAAAAGAACAAAATCGCATTGAAGTAACACATTGTAATACAAATTATTGGCGAAAGGAAAAATAAAACCATACAAATAATGTATATGTACATATAAGCTCCACAAATTGTGAGTCAGTTTTTCTTCTTTTTTTTTTGCTGATGGTAAAATGTTAATACTTAAGGTGTTCTTTGGAGCACTGAAGACTGTACAGAACCGAAAGCAACAATAAAGCTCAACAGAAATAATATATTTGTATGGAAATCGGTGAAAGTAATTATAAAAATACTCTATAAATAAATGCACAAATTGAAATTAAAGCTAAGCTAACTGAAAAATAAATAAGTTAAGCAACATACCGGCTACATGTATAAATAATTATATAAAAATAATATCAAAATACTTAAATAGTACATATGATACGCTTAAACAAAAACTACCAGAAAATACTAAATAAAAATTAAAAACTAAACTTTGTTAATGTACGTGGTATTTTTTTTTATATATATTCGAAATATTCAAATTGGTTTTTGTATGTTGTAAAAGTGTGTGTTTATTTTTTTTAGTAGTTGCCGCGACGTTGTTCAACACTAAGTAAAAGAAAAAGGAAACGAAACGGAATGGAACGCAACGTAACGGTACAGCGACTGCAACATGCTGACAGCAATTACGCAGCGCCGCCGCTGACTACGCTACAAAACTGATAAAGTGTGAGAGAGAGAAAGAGAGAGCAAGAGAGCGAGACAGTGTAATAGCGAGTACAGAGAGAGAGAGAGACAGATTGACAGCGAGCGAGCGAGTCTAAAACAAACGAGAGCGCGTTACTCTAAAGAGTTTACTTAGCTGGTAGCGAGTAGCAAAGTTTCTTTTAGTTAAATATAGTTATTTAGTATAGAAAGATAGATACGAGAAAGAGAGAGAGAGAGAGAGAGAGAGCAAAAGTTAAGATTTAGTGACTGTGTTTACCTAATTTCTTTGGTCTCCAGCAGCGACGAGTTGTTCACATCGTTTACCGCGTTTATCATCGATGTCGGCGAGAAGGGCAGGTGGTACATGGAGGCGGCATCCAGCGTATACGCATCGCTGCTCTTTATCAGCAGCTCATTCTTCAGCTCCATAAACTGATGATGCGGATTGTGGCCAAATTGATGCTGTTGCAGCAAATGCTGCGATTGCTGTTGCTGCTGCTGCTGCTGTTGCTGCTGCTGGTGATGCTGTTGGGTTTGGGCGTCCAGCGCATTCGCATTCAGTGTGGGCTGCGCGCTGGCGTGCGTGGTGAATGTGTATTGTGGCGCCCCCGTCGCGCTCATGGTGTACGGACACAGATCACCCAGTTCCGTGGCCTCCAGCTTGGGCTGAAAGCTTTGCAGTCCGTCGGGCGTGAGTATCTGATAGCTTTGCACGGTTCCAATGACATGTTGCTGCTGCTGCTGTTGCTCGTTGGGCAGTGTGGGCGTCGCCGCTGCCGTCGAACTGAGGTAGGTCACATTGTCCAGATCGTAGTGTGTGGGCTGTGTTTGCGCCTGACTGGTGGCCACCTGCTGCTGCTGCTGCTGTTCATGCTGCTGTTGCTGCTGCTGCTGTTGCAGCTGCTGCTGCGTTGTGGTTTGATACGTTGTCGCCTGCGCACGCTGCGGCGCTGGCGCCGTTGTGTAGATGGTTTGGGTGCCATCCAGCTGCAATGGCACCAGATTGCCCGCCTGATCCTGTATCATAATGCTCTGCCCGTGCAGCTGTTGCTGCAGCAAAGCCTGCTGCAACTCCAGCTGATTCGAATAGATGAGCGTCGTTGTCGTTGGCTGTGCACTCTGCGTGGGCGTTGCCTGGCCGCGTTGCAGCGTCATCGAGCTGCTTGCGCCGGGATTGGCCAACGCCAGCTGTGCTCCGCCCGGCAGTATCATGCCGCTAAAGTCCAGCGAGGGCAGCGTTTGCAGCTGCTGCTGCTGCTGCTGCTGCGGCGCTGCGGTTGTCGTTTGCTGTTGCTGCTGTTGCTGTAGTTGTTGTTGCTGTTGTTGCTGCTGTTGTTGCTGCTGCTGTTGTTGCTGGTCCGCCTCGGCATTCTGCACCTCATCCAGCACGCTGTCAATTTGGGCCAAACGCTTCTTGGCGGGCGTGGCCGCATCACCCGCCTTCAGCTTGCGCACGCGCGGCGTTCGTGTGGTCCGCGCACGCTTCGCCGCCGGCGTGCCCGTCGCATCAGATTTTTGTGGCGTGCTCGACGCTGATGAGGGCGGCATAGGCACATCCCCGTGCTTATCCTTCTTGTGCATTTTCATTTTATCCGGCCGCGAGAATTCCTTGTTGCATATGGGACAGGCGAATATCTTGCGATTCTGGCCCTCATGGAAGAGATACGCATGCCGCTGGAAACTGTACTTGTTCTTGAACGTCTTGAAGATGTCGTTCTTGGCACAGACCAGGCAATAGGCGACACCATCGATAATGTGCTCGTAGCGCGCTATGTCCAGGCCGCGCACGCTCATCTTCTCCAGATACTCGCCCTGCTCATCCTCCGCAATGACGCGCGTTTTGCGTTTACGTTTCTGCTTGGCCGCCGCCGCTTTCGAGAGCATGCCGGGTATCGCATCATTGATGGTCTGTTGTGGTTGCTGCTGTTGTTGCTGCTGCTCCTGCTGTTGTTGTTGGTGCTGGTCGTCGTGGCTGGTGATGGTGTAGCTGATGGTGCCAGCCGCCTGTTCCGCCGCCTCGGCCTCCACTTCCGATTTAATCACGTGATATTCCTCGAAATCATGTTCATGCTCCAGGCTCTGCTCCTCGTATTTAACTTGCAGTCCACTCTCCTCACCCTCACCCAACAGCTCCTCATCGTCACCCACATGCTGTGGCTCGTACTTTATAATGTCCGCCGCCACGGCGCTGCTGCCATTGCTCAGGCAATCGCTGCTTCCATTCTCGCTTTTCAGCACATGATACTCCTCGTAGGTGCTGCCGTCGAACTCAATAATTGTGCCATCCGTATTCACCAACGCTGTTGTTGTTGTTGTCGTTGTTGGCGCTGTGCCAACGCCACCGCCACCAGCACCAACAGCACCACCGCCGCCAACATCGATGCTGCTAACGACAGGGGTCACTGCGGCGGCGCTAACCGCCGTCGCGGGCAAACCTCCGTTGTAGTTCTCAAAGACTATGGTCGTCGGTGTCTGGCCATCCTCTCCAGTTGTGGTTATATAATGATATTGGGGCTGCTGTTGCTGTTGCTGCTGCTGCTGTTGGCCATCCGTTGCTCCATTTGTGGTGGCGTTCGTGTGCAGGATGGAGGACGAACTAATAGTTGTGACCACATTGTCTTTTGTTTATATTGATTGAAAGTACATATATTCGGTTTGGTTCATATAAAAGATGTGTTTGAATGTAATATTTGCATAAATAATCAAGAAATCAATTCGAAAAATCGAAATCGAAATTGTAATCGTAATCGAAATCGAAATCAATCAACAATTCACTCAAAATCAAATACCGATAGAAAAAAATCAATTATTAATCAATGGGCTGTGCAAAAATTAAAGCTACAAATCATCATCGAACTAAACAGTTTTTATATAGAGCATATCCGATTCGTATATACCCCATATATGGAGCTGCATACACTACATACCAAAGAGAAATGAGTGAATTGGTTTTTCTATTTTATTGTTTGTCGCATTAATTTGTATTTACTTAAATTACTACGAATTAGAATTAGGTCATACTTTTTCATACGGTAGAGCAAAAGTTAAAAAAAAAAATTAAAGTTTATAAAAAATTGATTCCAATTTGAAAATGGCCACATTTGGCTATAGTAAATAATGTCAAAAAATAGTTCTAAAAAAAATACCTAAAAAATATAATATTTGTGCAAAATGCTAAAAATAATATATACTACGCGCAATGTTCACAATGGAATTGAGGGGAATACAAGCTGATGGGCAGCACTTTTGTATCATCAATGGTTCTACAAATTATGGGCGGTACTTTTCGTATGGCGAATATGGTTGGAATTTAAAACTCTGCAGTGAAACGAGTTTGAAGAGTAAAAAGCTTGATGAAACGTTATGGTAATATCTTTTAATGTCAAGCCTTATCAAACAATTAAAAGAACTGTTAAATGCTGAGCGGAAAAAACGGAATTGGAACACAAACAAAAAGCGAGCCCATGTTTGATCAACTGTTAAATTGTAGCATTTTTTATTAACTAATCAAATAAGTCGGTATTCCAGCTTCACATAAAAAATAATGCAAATATTAACTGGAATAGTGCCCAGTAAGATGTGCTGAACCAGAACGGAATTGGAACACAAATTTAGCGCACTTTCAAATTTAACGTCGATTCCATTGTGAACAGCAAAAAATAACTTAAGAGCTAAACTAAAAACAACTTTAAATAAACTAAAAATATAAATACATACATAAATAAAAAAAAAAAAATAAGTTTTGAGCCTTTCTTCAAATGCGCTTTGCATCATATCATCAATCGCATTCGTATACAAATATATAATAAATATATTCCAATATATTGCTGGGGCCTAATTTGTGCATTTATTTATATTTTTTTTTTTTATAATATTTCGATATCTGTTTGCATATATAAATATATATATATATAAACAGAATTGAGACAGCAAGTAAAATATGCTCAGCAAGAAGAAAGAAGGGGGGACAGACAGTTTAACATGATGTACGAGGTGTAAATTGTAAATTGTGTAAAAGAACTGAAAAGCGATTCGTTATTTGTTTGGGATGCATTCAGCTAGGAGTTGTTTTTCTTCTGATTTTTGTATGTATTTTGTTTAAAAATTGTTTTTTTTTTTTTTATTTAAAAAATAGTTTTTTTTTTTTTGGCCAATTTGTGCCCACAAAATTGTACAAAGCGCCGCAAATGGAAGACCAGCACATTTTATTGAATAAACATATAGAAAACAAATTTATATCTTGTTCTTTTTGTTTTATTTTTTTTTTTGCTTTGGAATTTCACGTTTTTCTTCGCCTTGTTAGCTGCAGTTTGATTTGGCACAAAATTGTTAAAAATTACGAAAACAAAAAAGAACACAAAAAGAAATAATAAACAAACACAAAACAAATTTAAAGTAAAACTTCTACAAATTGTAAATGCATTGCGTTATGATAATGTTGAGAGTTGAGCGATAAATGATAAATGGTATACAAATAAATACATGTTGCCAATTGGAATCGTTTAAAAAAATAAAAGTGAAATATAAAAAAGGAGTTAGTAAATGTAGCTAATAAATATGAAAGAACAAAAACCAAAAAAAAAAAAAGAAGAGGATTTGTAACGAGCACACAAAATGAAAGCAACAAAATACTACACAAAACGACAAACGTAATTGAGAACAAGGTTTTAAGTAAGAGTATTGCAAAAGAAATATATATATATATATAGTATATAGATATTTCAACTTACCGGCAACGCTGGCAGCAACATGTTGCTGTTGCTGATGCTGCTGCTGCGGACTGCTGTTGCTGCTGCTGGCGACGGCAGCAACTGTTGTTTGATATGTGGCCGTCGTTGCTGTTGTTGCCTGCCCATTTGCATCACAGAGTATTTCATTTTGCAGCTGATAGACATTGCCATCCGTGCTGGTATATTGTTGTTGTTGCTGCTGCTGCTGCTGCTGATGCTGCTGCTGCTGCTGTGGAATGCCATTTAGTGTATTGGCCGCGGGCAACATGTTGATGCAAACAATTTGTTGTTGCTGTTGCTGACTAGATGTTGCTGTTGTTGTCGCCTGGTGTTGTTGTTGTTGTTGACTTAGTTTTGGTATTTTGCCCTCAAATTTGCGCGACTGTTGCATAAATTGCAGCGGCTGTTGCTGCTGTGCTTGTTGTTGCTGTTGCTGTTCGTTGAGTTTGCGTTTAATATCTGTAAAAATGCGTTCGAAATTTGTATTATATGTGCTATAAAAGTTTTGTTTATTGTGATTGGATGTTGTTGATGTGGTTGTTATATGGTGGCAGGTAAGCGTTGGGATTGTGAAGCGACACACACACACACACACACAGCATATACATATATATAGACATATATACATATATATATATATAGAGCAAAGCGAACGAACGAAGCTGCAGCAGAAACAAATCAAAACTGAAACTGAAGCCCAACCAGCAATCGAGTTCGAACTCATTCGAATTTTTTTTAGTAAAACAGTTTTGGTTTTTGGTTAGTTTTTAGCATAGAGTTTCTTTTAATATATATATACACATGTCTGTATACATATATATATATAGCGTGCTCTCATATATTTCTCAGGCGCTTACAAATTAGGACACAACTTTGACGACTTATTTTGTAGCAAAAATTTCTAATTTCAAAACACATACATGTACATATATAAAAAAAAAAGCACAAATACGAGAAAAGAAACTAAAAGACGACGACAACGACGACGACGATGTTGACAAAAAAACGCTGACAAAAGCGGCTGTGAATGGGATCAGGTTGAAATGGTTTTTTAAAATTAGTTAGTCAACAGTTGGGGGGGATGGGGCTAGCTAGTTGTTGGTTGGCTGGATTAGCTGGATGATGATGCGGATGTTGATGTTTGATGGCTGTTGAACTGTGAATCTTATGTGACTATGGTTGTTGTTGCTGTTGTGACTGTGGCGCTGCAATGGCTGCTGTTGCTACTGTTGCTGATGCTGCAGTTGCTGTTGCTGTTGTTCAAATTGTTGCTGCTGTTGCGCTCACCTGCGCCAACACTGCTGCTGCTGTTGTTGCTGCTCTCAGTGATGGCTGCAACTGTTGCTGCTGCTGCTGGTGTGGCTGTTGCTGCTGTGCTGGCTGCTGTTGCTGCTGTGCTGGCTGCTGTTGCTGCTGTGCTGGCTGCTATTGGGGCCTCCTTTTTTCGCCGTGTGGGCGTCTTGCGCGGCGTGGAATTCGCTTTGGCGCGCGCACCGCCGCTGCGCGCCCCTCTTGATGTGGAGGACGTGGATGTGGAGGATGCTGGCGATATGGAGCGATCGTCTTTATTGGCACGCGGACTGCGACCGCGACTGCTGTTGCGCGAGCTGGTGCGTCGTTTGCTCGCCAGCCAATCGTCATCGTAGTCCGCATCATATTTACGCTTATGTTTGCGCCGCTTGAAGTCCTCCTCCTCATCATCATCCTCTGCAAAGAGTGGAATAGAGAGACAGAGACAAAAGAAAAGAACAAAAAAGGCGCATTGGTTTGGGTTTTGGGCATTTGGAGAGTGTCTCAACGGCTCACCAGTGCCATCGTCCATATACTCCAGCAGCTCCTGCTTGGTCTTAAAGTCAGCGGGACTCTGCAGTGTCATGGCATCCTCGGGCGCAAATTCGGTCTCCTCCTCGTTGAGCGTGAGCACGCTCTCCTTAAGCATGGCCTTGACATCGTCGGGCACATTGGGATTCTGTTGGATTTCATCCAAATCCAAATCAGGATTACGCTCCTTGAAGCTCTTCGCCTTGGTGGGATTACATTGCTTCTTCATTCTGTGGGAGGGTAAGTAAATAAATACACTAAAATGTCTTTTTTATGGGTTCAATTTAACCCACTTTTTATCACACAACAGCACATCAAGATGCGGCGGCAGCGGCGCCGCTGTTGGCACCGCATTGGGCGGATCCTCCGGGTGACGGCCCAGATCGCGTCCCTCCAGCCACGCATCGTAGCGTTCGCTTTGGAAACGCTTCACAAATGTGTCCATTGAGATTTTGACCATATCATTGCTGCAGGTACATTGCGTTGCACGCTTTCCGTACTCAATCCAGCGTTCCATGGCAAAATTTGTGGATTCGGCACAATTGAAGCCATGGTTGAAGCCAGCATGATAGCCGAATGGAAATGTAATCATTATCTCGCCCGATTCCTGTGTGATCTGTATGAATGGAAGAAGATGTGTTAAGCATAGGAAGCGGGCCAAAGGTTTGGCTAACAATGAGCGCCAGGATTCGAGCTGGGTCTATGGAGAGTTACTCTTGTGGCAAGTCCAGAATCAAGTCTTGTTAGATTAATATTTACTGGGACCATTGTGAAAGTCTGCCGATTCCCGGCTTTAAAATCTTTAAACCTTTATGCATTTTTTTGGAAGCCAGCAAATGTGACTACCAGGTAATCAACGAGTACGCGAGTAGACAAAAGAGCTCAAGGAGCGAAGTCTTTGTGTGTCTACTGCTCACATATATAAAAATAAGAAAGTCCTGAGTTTGATTTTCTCTATTAAAGGTATTGACAAGCTGCTAGCTCAAATTAGTTCTGTATAAATTCCCAAAGACATTCCATTTCCAAACTCGAATTCCGGCTTTTATTTTTTTTTTAGCTATTTCCTTTACCTTGCTAACGGGCACATTGTGGTGCTTGAGTATTTGTGGCGATATGAGCGTCATTTTATGACGCAAATACGCATTGCAATTCTTATAGCTGGCCGGAAAATACTGATTGGCAACCTTTTCCAGCCGTCGTCCATATTCGGGCGGCACCACGTACCACGTTTTGGGCGCACCAAAGTGCAAATAGTTAATTGAATACAAGTCCATGTCCTCTGTGTGCCAGGCGAATGTGGTTTTCCACATGCCGAAATACAAATAGGCGGTATTAACGCCATCAATTTGTATATTATAGTCCTTGTTGACAAAGTCCAATATGCTGCCCAAGCGATTTATGTTCCAGCTCTGCGAACAGCGGAACAAGGCATTTACAAAAAAGAAAAAAAATAACCAAAGAAAAAAAAAAAACAGTCCACTCCAAACTTACATCCTGATCGGAGTCTGTGATGCTGCCGCTAACATCGGCGCCATAGATGGGCGCCACATAGGTTATGTTCTTCCAATATTTACGCTCCAGATCCTCAAAATCGAAATGCTTGGGCGTGGCATAGCGTTCGGTGCTAGCCAATTCGCTAAACTGTTTAACTGTTAACGGTTTCTTTTGTATGTTGATCTGTTGATAATAGCCCTGTTTGCCGGTAACCACCTGGCAAATGGGCGCCGGTATTGTAACATTTAAGGCATCCAAATCCGCATAGCCACTGCGACGTGGCACCCATTCGGATGGCGGCACCACCTTGGCCAGACCGGCCTTGTGAGCGCCCTGTGATTCCATATAGGCAATATATTTGGGAAAGTCCTTAAACTCCTCCCAGGTGGGACGGAATACCATAATGCGCGGTATATCAGACATATTTGTTTAATCAACTCGATCTGTAACTGTTAGAGAGAAAGAGGTAGAAATAGATAGATAGAGAGTGGCAGCTAGAGAGGGAGAGAGAACTGGCGAGCGAGGCAACAAATGCTGCCGCCTCTGCTGTCAGCTTCTCAGCAGCGATCAGCGCATTAATCCAGCGCAGATGCCTAAGACTTGACATGAATGCGTGCGTGCCCTGCCCCCGGTGCCCTTTTGCTCCTGTTGTTGTTGCTGCTGCTGTTGTTGTTGTTGTTGTTGTTGCTAAGCAAATAGCAGTGAAACAGGAACAGCTGCAACTTCATTTTCAAGCGCCCTTTTTCAATGGGACAGCAACAACAGCAGGCAGACAAAGTACACACAGAGGGCAGCAGCACGTTCTAAAAATGCTACAAAATGTTTTGTATATTTTGGTTTAGTGCTGAAAGTTTAAGACTTTTATCATATAAATAATAGTTAAGAAAAATTTGTCAAAATAACGTTTTTGGCTGAAAATTTGTTAGATTTACAAATTATATATAGTTTTTTTTTTATTAACAAATATGTATAAACAGAGATAGGTAAAATATTTTATGGCTAGGTTTTTAAACAAATTTTGACCTTTAAGCAGGCACAACTTGCAGATAAAAAGAGTTTAAGCAAAGTTCAATGAAAAATTTCAAGCGAGCTCAACTCTAAAATAATTATATAAAAGGTAAATAAGATGTATAGAAAATAGTATTTTTTTTTTTAATAATTTTGTATCAAAGCATCATTTTTTAAAAACTAGTATTTAATGCTGCAGTATAAAGCCTGTACTATATGAGTATTTAATACTGTAGTATTAAACCTGTAATATATAAGTATTTAATACTGCAGTATTAAACCTCTCTAGAGCTGTACATCTCGAATTTTAGTTTAGATTTAATTACAATAAGAATCCATTTGCTTTCGTTTATAATCTCCTATATTTAAAATTTGAATTATGTTTATCAAAATAAGTAGTCTGAGGAATATGCCAATGTTTCGCATAGTACAAAACCTGATCTTGAGAATCAAACCATATTTGAGGCATTTGACAATTGTTAAAACTTTTAATTAAACTAGATAAATGCTTTATAACTATATATTAGTTTTCGATGTGATCATGTTTTGCTGTTAATCAGATACTTAAAGCTAATTAATTATTCAACTTTTAGTGGAATATCTATTGTATGCATTTCGCGACAATTAGATTTTAAACACTGCTAAAAGTAAGTTAGCCTCTTTTAATAATAAACTAGAATAATAGACTAAATCTGGGAAAATGTGCCTGTTAAAATCTATTATAATCATTCTCACTGAATTACATACTATACTACCTATATTGCATCATTAAAAACTATAAAAATGCTTTCTTTTATTTTCCATTTCTGTTTTTCCCATACATAACAAATGAAATAAAATTCAATTTTTCTATTTTCCTCTCCCAGACAAAATGATGTTTGATTTTCTTGTAGAGTAGCCTTAAGAGTTTCTGGGTTAATGCGATACATACACATACATATTATATGTATCCACGAATTGTGTATGGAAAAGTTTAAACAATTTCTTTGAATAAAACCAAAAACAGAAAACATTTAAACACAGCCTGGAAACAGTTTTGAAAATGTTCGATTTTAGGTATTTAGGAAATCAGCAAAAATTCAACTAATCCCCGCAGCTGCATACATACGAAAAATATAAAGGACACCAATTAAAATGGCGCAGAGCAAAATAGCGAGCTGTAAAAAGGATACACTGAGAAACACGCCCAATAAGAATATGAAATACAAAAACCAAAGTACAAACCTCTTTGTGGTATATGTTAAATGTTTATTGGCAGTAAAGATATGATGAATAAACAAATTGAAAGCTTGACGACAACAGGACGAACGGGAACAAGGACGAGAACGGCAACGGCAACGGCGACAGCGACAACGACAGCGACAGCAACGGCGATGATGAGGACAACGCCGTGCGAGACATGCAAGCAAACTACATGGAAGAAAATTTACGCAATTTTGGGTCTACGCAGAAAACTGTACCACCACCCGATGAGACGATGATGACGAGGACAACGGAGAGAAAATTAACGACGAGTGCGCGCTGTGTGCGCAAGCGAGAGGGCATGCTGTCAGGACGAAAGCAGGCGTAATTGGGCGAGACGCAAACTAGCGAGTCGCATGAATAGAGAGAGAGAGAGAGAGAGAGAGAACAACTGCCATATATATATATACATGTACACATGCACACATGTGTGTGCCTGCGCGTGTGTGTGTGTGTGTGCGGTTGTGTGTGTGCCATTTGGGTTTATAAGTAATATGCATTGTGTATATATGTATATTGAAAAAAAGTTGAAAATTAAAGACTCACTTGTGTGCGCTTCGATGAATTTTATATTCATGCTGGCCTCCCGCTCGTACTCTTGTGCGCGCTCTTCCTCTCACTAGCTCGCTCTCACTCTCGTTTGCTTTTGTAATCCCACAACGTTTACAAGTATTTGCTTGTTTTATTATTTGCCTGTTTTTGCAGTTTATTGCACATATTGCTTTTGTTGTATATTTCGCTTAAAAAGAATAACAACTTTCTTTCTTCTTCTTCTTTTCTTTTGTCACTTTTTTGTGTGCTACACTTTTTTTTTCTTTCCTTTTGCTTTTTTGTTGCTTACGCTTAGGCGTGCTCTCTTTTTCAAAAATTACGCTCTCTCACACACACATTCGCTCTCTTTGGCTGGCGCTCGCTGTATCGCTGTATTTTGCACAATTGCACAATTTGTTGTTGTTTATTTGACACACGAATTATTTGTTTGTTGTATTTGTAACAGTAAAAATATGTTGGCCCGCAACATTCGCTGAGTGTCTGGAGCTGCCGGCTGATGGTCCGATGGAGGGGGGAAAGCTCTCAATATAATATTAAAGATGTTGCTTTTGTTGCTATATATTTATACGTGTTTGTATTTGTGTATATGTACATCAACTATACATTTGTATATCATGAACTGCTGCTATAAACACACACACGGCAACGGGCGCGGATCAGCAACATGTTCTGAGCTGTCGGAGCTGCGAGCGTAAACTGAAACCACGACGTGCCTGGCGAGGACGAAGCAGCGCAGCGCCCAGCAACACTGACTGCGACGCCGACTGCGGCAGCACACGCACGCACACACACACACACACACACAGGCAAGCAGACAGACACAGCCACAGAGCGTTGTCCTTTTAATGCGAATGACGATACGAAAGCGTAATGTGCAAGGAAAACCAAGAGCGAGCGCGCATAAGAACAAGAGCAAAAACAAGTTTGTCAGGACAATGAATGATATACAAATTGAAGTGTATACATGTATGTGTGTATGTGTGTGTGTGCGTGCGTGTACGTGTGAGGAAAATGCAAAGGAAAAGCGGCAGTTGGTTCGTGGCAAACAAAAGATTTTTGTGAAGCGAATGTTTTTGTGAAATATTGGCAAAAACGAGCTGCAGCGAATGCTGCACAAAAACATCGAAATTTGCTATGCTTCGTGTCCTGCGACTCTCGCTCACTCGCTCTCTGCTTTGCCACAAAGAGAGCGTGCGAGCGAGCGAGCGAGAGAGAGAGAGAGAGCAGAAAAACGTTAGACAAGGTAGGACTTGAACTACTGCGCCTGGCTTACACATAATTACGCTTTGTATTAGTCCGCGTAGTTAGCGTGAGATTTACAAAGGTATTTACATTAATCTGGGTACAGGATCTCATATCGATCACTTGAAGATCAAGCTATGCTAATACACATTTTTCAGCTGGCACTTGAGTGGTTTCCTGCGGCAGATATTTTTAAATTTTCCTGGAAATTCGAAAATGATTAACATGTTAAATATCAAACTTTAGCCCATAAATAGCTGGGTAAAAATTGTTCATTTCAATTACAGGTTTTTATTCAATTTTTAAGCCTTTGGCAGCTTGATAAAAAAATTTTAGGTTGAAAGATCAGAGCAGGGAACGCATTGGGTTCTTGGAAGCCCAGCACTTCCATATAGACCATACGGAAAAAAAATTGTAAATAAGAATTTAAATACATTGAAATTGCCTGTTCTTAAGTCTGGAAGATACGATTTGCTAGCGACCACTGAGCAAATAAAAATATCCTGTACAAATTAATATATCTTGAGTATTTATTTGATAAGCAGATTTGATTATATTCTTTCGATCTGAATATAAATCAGACTATTTGGAAACAGTAAAAGCATTTTGATCGCACAATTATAAAGGCATAAATATCATTTCATGTATGTAATCTAAAATATTCTCTACATAGATTCTTCCAGGTAATACTCTGTCGATTGGGCGCAAAAAGAAAATTACCAAACAAAACAGATCTATGTAGTATTACATATTATTCCCTAAAGCAGACGATCGAAAAACAACAACATCTGAATTAATTTACACAATTCCTAGCTTAAAGGACAAGTTCAAGTTGTTAGGCAGCCTGTTTTAAATGAACAGTAATTTTAATTAACTAAAATATAACCACATTTTTAAGTCAAGCATACTTTGATCTCAGAGCACAGCTGAAGGTAATTGAAGGGTTCGGTTTGTACTCGTAGGCAGCATGCCCAACTGGCCTAACAAGATGTCCTTTCCCCCGACACCCCACACACACACAACTTGTATGCTTACAAAACAGGACAAGAAAAAAGCCTTTAAATACAGAATTTAAGCAGCCGCAGCGCAAAAAGCGAAACCAAACTAATTACAAGAAGAAAGAGAAACGAAACATTGCACAGGGAATATAATTTACAACATGTCATTAGCTGGGCAACGCCTATGGTATGTGGCATGGGTGACGGCCAGAAGTGGGAAGGAAAGAACGGCAACAGCAGCGAGAAACGCGGCAACGTCAACGTCAACGGCAGGATCAAAGCGTGACGCGAGAGGCCGTGCGCGCAAGGACTGAAAAACGTTGCTAGAAAAGGAGCTGAGCTGAAGTGCACTTTGTTTGGGGAGCCGGATCCTGCGCGCAGCAAACTCAGAAACGTGTTTTTTACAA